GTAAAACTTCTGATAAATTTTCACTGACAGCAAATGTGCTCTAATTGCTGCTCTAGTAGAGGATGTTTTACGTCCTGTCCTGGTCCCCTGACCTTGAACATCCGGCGCCGGGCATAAAACTTGATCAACAGGTAGGCACACAGCTGTTGTTCAAGGTAAACACATTTCCAAGAACTCTGCAAATGAACTCTGCTGCATTCCCTCGCTTTGGAGTTTGGAGTTTTTTGCGAATATGTCAGCTAAAATGCAAATGTTATGCTGTGTCAGCAGTGGTTGCCATAGCAATGGGATGTTCTACCAACCCCAGAGCGTCAAAATAAGGAACACCGGTTAATTTTTTAACCACAATCCAAAGCTGCCAGAGGAATGTGGTCCCTCACTCTGTTGTGCTCACGATCCAAATATAAAACTTCATGACTCAAAATGACTCTAAAATCAAAACAGTGATGACATTACTAGGATCTCCTGTACTGCTGCTGACTCCACAACAATAACAATAGCCGCCATCACACTCGCTTGTCCTGTCTCTTTACCGGGCTGGAGATATGTCTGCAGCTCAGATGGAAGACAAACTTGACCATTTTGTCCTTGATTCTTACTGAATTCCCACCAAAGGGTTTCGACTTCTTCTCCCGCATCCCATCAAACATCAAAGCGGGTGATATTAAGCTAATGAGCAGCTCTTTCAAAGGCTCTATCATGGCCTACATTCTACTCTTTGGGAAACAGGCTTTATCCTGGACTTATGTCGTAGTTACTGGGATGGATTTTTGCTGGCGTGCAAACAGCTTTACTCTAAATTGAGATATACTGTGTGAGATTTGATGCAGGGCGCTTTCTGATTCGCTGTGTATCTCATTTATTGTTTGGCAGTGCGGTGGGCAGTTTTAGAGCAGCAGTCCATGGGAAAGCATTCAGATGTGTCGATGCCATTTTATGATCTGTGTAACGGCCTTGGTCAGAACCAAGGCGGGTCATGGAGCTTTAACAGCTATGAACGAACCTTTGTTTGAAAGTCACGACCCTACCCCGGTTACAGTTGTGCTCAGGAGATTAAAGACGTTGGGGAAAATATGCATTGCGGACTGGAATGTGTGTGTTTGATGTTTGGAAGGCCACAGGGCTTTCTAGTTTAGTGCTGCTATATCCTTCACCTGGCATTATCGTCCCCCGCATTTCTGCATTCACACTCTCATTTCTGGCTGTTTGAACGCCTCAAAATGAAAACATGTTGAAATAATTTTCTTGCATTTTGTTCCAGATTCAAATGACATGCTGCTTTGCATCAACATGTTGTGGGTTTCTGCTCGAATGCTTCTCAACCCCAAGCATTTCTCTGTTCTCTCGTATTTGTGCTCGCTGTGTGCACATTTTTAGTGCAATATAAAGTCCTGCATCTCCGTGGAAACAACACAACTCTGGCAGAGTCTGTGATGATTCATCAAGGTCATGGTTATTCTGGTAGATTAAACGTAGCAACTGGACTTGCTTGAGTTCCTTGAAGATGTTTCTGACTGACTAGTTGGGAGTTCCTGATACTTATATCCTAAAGGAGACATTAACGCCTGAGTTTCCGTTTCAATTGGGGGTTTGTTACTCTTCTCCCTCGTTATGTGGGTCGTTAGTGCTCCCCCTGCCTCAAAGGGGTTCATTAGGGTCTCCCCAAGACCTGTACATCGGGGAGACTAAACAGCCACTCCACAAGCGCATGGCTCAGCACAGAAGAGCAGCTCCTCAGAACAGGACTCAGCAGTCCACCTGCATCTCAAGGACAAAGGACACTCATTGGAAGACAACAACGTACAGATGTTGGCCAGGGAGGACAGATGGTTTGAGAGAGGGGTGACAGAAGCCATCTATGTCAAACTGGAAAGACCATCCCTCAACAGAGGTCTGAGGCGTCATCTCTCACCTGTTTACAACTCAGTACTAAGATCTCTCCCCAGGAAGATGAAACTACATTCACACCGAGCCACAAAAGACACTAACGAACCCCTTTGTGGCAGGGGGAGCACTAACGACTCAAGCAGGTCCAGTTGCTACTATTAATCTACCAGACCAGCTCTGGTCATGTCATCTGGGCAGTATGACACAGTTACAAAGAACAAAAGTCGAAGTTCTGTGACTTCTTATTTTGCAGTATGGACATCAGCAGGTACAACAAAGCGCCCAGAGGTGTTGCCAATACTGAAAAGAAACATGGTGGCTTCATGTACTATGGATCCTTCACTACTTACATTTTTTAACTGGTTTCCATACTTGTCTGCTCTGTGTAAACACTGCCTGCAGTTCAGCTAAAAAAAAAAAAAATCCTTGAATTGTTGTTATTCATGGCTTCACTGTGAGAGGTGCAGAATTTCTTGCTTTTTACTTTATCTGGTTTTGGTGAATGGTTTATTTTAGGCAAATTATTAAATGACTGAGGACGTATTTTTTTAAAAAGTCAGCTTAAACCTGATTATTTTCTCTAAGAAATTACCTATTATAAATCTGTTATCATCACTGGTTCAAATGATCAAACTTTACTGAGCGCTACAGGGATTTCATTTTGCCTCATCAGTTTCAGTCTTACCAGTAGCACACACAGGACGTACACCCATGTTCATAGGACTTGATCTGATATTATGTACACAGACAGGAGATACAGGTTGCACTTGTTGCACCTCACGCCCGTCATTACATTAATCGTGCATACTTTTCTTTGTGTTCTTTTGGAGAATCAAAAGTTGTTCTCTGTCATTTCTTGCCACTGTGTCACACAACACCGCCTTTGTTTTGCAGACGAATATTTGTGTCTTCCCAAGTAGGAGGCTTGGACTCTTTCTGACAGCTTCAAATGTCAGCACGGGTTCACCCAAATGTACCAAGCAGGCTTTGTGCCAGATTAAATGTGCTGCACTGTGTTGTGAGGTTAAGGGAACGGGGCCCTCTTATGTATTAAATATTATCTCTGACTTACTGCATTACGAGGACAACGTGGAAGGATTTTTTAATTATCCCGTTGTATCACTGCAGTTACTTTACAGCGAAGGAAATCTCTCATCATTCCACGTTAGCGATGGAAGTGAAATGGCAGCCGTGTGAATCTTGTGACATTTTCCAGATAAGATGCAGAGAGAATCGGCCCCTCGGCTGCTTCTCCTCGCTCTGCTCTGCATGTAGATGTGAGTCACTATGTTTGGCTGTCTGCTGCTCATATTGAATCCGTGCATGCAGCCACAACAGATCAGACCTGAGCGGTGACATTCAGCGTCCCACGTCACCGTCATGTGCAAAGTTTGAATTTTACAATCAAAACGAGAAAGGGCAGCAGACAATGTTTGCTTTATTTCTTTTTTCTGTTGCCTATCATTGATATGTGCTAATATGTGACTAATTCTGGTCATGTTAAATTCATTCCCTACTGACTGCACGTGGTTGTTCCATCTGTAAGCAGCCACATTGTTCTGCTGCCTTTAGGCTGAAACAGCAGACCAGCGATAATGAGACTGGCAGAATCCAAGTTATTAAAGTTTTTATCCCTAAAATGAGGGAAATTAAAAAACCACAAGCATATAAATCTAATTAAACTCTCTTTCATTTGAAATTTGAGCTTTAACAAGCTTGTTTTGAACAAAAAGAGCTCTTAGTTGAAGTTGCTGATTCACCCATTCGAAGCTTAGATGTTTAAAATGTGGAATATAAAAGGCCTTCAGCAGACACAGAAGGGCTTTTATATGTTACACTTTGAACATGGCATCCATCCAAACATAGTCATCTGCATCCCAGACCAGCAGAAAGAATCTGAAAAATGAACAAGAGCTGCTCTGCTGAGGTTCCTGTGAGCGTCTTACTTTTACTCTAGTAAATGTTTATTTTATTTTTTTGTATGAAATAGTGAGAAAAGATTTCCGTCACCCATCAAAATCCTTCAGCAGAGGGAGTAAACTTCCACTCCATTATCGTCCCAGATGAGATGATGGACCGCAGTTAGCCGTGTTTGCGACAGTCTCATTAAAGCTCAGCGCCGATCTCTGCAGTGTTTCTGATGGGCTGGATAATCGAGGAGGTGTAGCTCTAATGTGCAGCCGGCTGCAGGCAGCACTGTGATGGATCTCTTGTCTTTTCAGGATTGTTTGAAAGAATTGGATGCAGTGAATGTACTGCGTCGCGAGTTATATATCCTTGTTTGCACTGATTTGATTTCAAATTATTATCAGAATATTTCTCTGAAATGTGCCTCGTATCCAGAGATCTACATTGTTCCACAAAAAAAACCCTAAATACGACAGACATACATTAATTTCGACATTGTGAATGATTTAGGAGCAGTGTGACCGAGTTTTTCACCCTTTTCTCACTTGTACACTGAGGCCTACGTAGAACCTCAACTCTGATTTAACAGTTTAGATTAAGGAACAAAGAAGCTCTTTAATTTAATTCATTCCAGCCTGTGGACTGTAACCGTCCTTTTTAATGACAAAAGTTGATATTCTACAAATTCTAAGAGAGTAAGCATTATTATAGCAATATTTGAAGGGGCTTCTTTTGTACTGATGTATGTTGCAGAGACTCACATTTGCAGTTTCCTTCTAGGAAATGTGTATGGGTTTGCACTGGGTGTCAGTTTGTTTTTTCACATCCTGCATGCTGCAGCATGTATTATTGGTTAGTAGCAGAGTCTTGATTTTCTTGAGTTTAGGAGCTCAAGAAAAGATGCTGAACCAAACATAAGATTTAAAAAAAAAAAAAACAGCAATATATGCTCGCTTATTAAGATGCTTTTCTATATTTAACAAGTAAAATGTTAAATACTGAAGAAAACATCAATTTTCAGCTGATATTATCCACCAGCGTTGATCTATCACAGATGTTGTCCGATATACAACCATTTTTTTTACTCCAAAAATTCTAATATCGCTCTGACTCGACTCTTAGTTCTGTCTTGACTTTCCGCAGTCATGTAATGTCGGGAATTTTGCACAGTTCTGATAAATGTCTCCCTTGTCTTTCCTCTCCAGGGTCTAACTACGCCATGTCTAACGGAGGCGGGGCCGCCAGTAGCACCACCCACCTGTTGGACTTCCTAGAGGAGCCCATCCCTGGTGTGGGCACCTACGACGACTTCCACACCATCGACTGGGTCCGTGAGAAGTGCAAGGATCGCGAGAGACACCGGAAGGTGAGGGCGCAGAAGCTTTAAGATGAGCCAGCACTGTAAAAGAAAAAAACCTCCACTCAGTGACAGATGAAGAGATGATACAAGAGAAGTTTAACAAGTCTCATAAATGACAAAAAGTGTTGGACACAGCCCCCTCCCAGAGTTTACATTCAGACAGGGGGTTTCAGACGCTGCTAAAGGACCCAACAAGTAGTTTGTCTGAAGTGTTCTGAGGCCTTAAGTAAGCAAAATGTAGACAGATTTATTTTGCATCAAGCGATTCCAACTAATCCGCAGCACTTAACAGACATCCTCGTGATTTGGCTTTTTCCCAGCTCACAATGTTTTGATATTAGTTAGTGTCAGCGAAAAACTCCCGTGCTGCACGGGAAGTCTGGTATTGCACATTTCCTGCTGCAGCAATAGTTTGTTTGGATCCCACAAAAGAAGAACCGGGTAGATGGGATCAGCACTTTTTGGCTTGATGGCTTGACAAAGAAAAGACAACATGTACCAACCAAAACTTCACAAGCAGAAAATCCACGAAAAAGGGTATCAAATATCAAAGCCACTGGCATTTTATGTAATTGTTTTTACAGTTTTGAGCCAACTACTTTTTCCCTGCTACATTCCCACCGATAATTTTTTTTTTTTGAGCTCCCACCTCCTTTTCACAGCCTTCATTTTCTCTTAGTCCAAAGTCTAGATTAGACTAACAGGAACCTAAGTGTGCAGCTCCAATATGACTGGACTCAGTAAAATGTTGGCTCCATCCCGCTGATTCGTCCTCTCTCTGTCAACACTTTATCCAAATATTGACACAGTTCTACAGCACACGTTTCAAATTGTTTTATTGCAGGATTCCTGGAAATTTTGAATTTGAATGGTATCAGTTTTAATAACCTGGTCTGACCTGCCATGTGGTAGATGGTAATCAACTGTTTTATTGAAGCAGCAGTGTAAACAATGCCACGAGAGGAGATTAGTGAGTTCTTATCAGTCAGTAGTTCTAAACTTTTGACCTACGTTGCCTACCTGCCTGTATGAGTTCACTACACCAGGTGTTTCTTAAATATTCAGCTTCTTAGTTATATTATTCGTGCATGTAACTCAGCGCTTGTGTTTTCTGTGTACGTGCAGATCAACAGTAAGAAGAAGGAGTCGGCATGGGAGTTCACCAAGAGCCTGTACGATGCCTGGTCTGGCTGGCTGGTGGTGACGCTCACCGGTTTGGCGTCAGGTAACACACATGTTGTGCCGAAGCGCAGACACACACGGCTGTTATGTGCTCTGCTGGTGACTCTCACATGCTTTGCCTCAGGCGGCTCACGCTCAGCCTTTCTCTTGTTCCTGTCTGTCTTTTGCACTCATTTACAGACTTCTCATGAGCACACTGTCTCTTGTGCAGAACCTCACCAGATAGAGTTCAGGCCTTGAAGCAGCAAAAAGAGAAAATTACCAAGGCTTTGTATGAAACTGTGAGGACTGGAGTGTCAAAATAAAGCTGCTATAAAATGGCTTTTTTGTAGGATACAAAAGGAGAGAAATTGGTGTAATGGATAAGACGGGTTCATTGTGTTCACTTAAGTAGATGGTCTGGGGTAGGAGTCGACATAACTCCGTCTAAATGAGCCTGTAATGCTCACAGAAGTTAAATTAAGGATCGCAGTATTTTCAGGCAGTCAATGATTTTTAATTTACTGTCATATTTTTCCTGAAGTGTGCTGTCTGATGCAGAGTTTTGGTATCCAGTAACATTCCTGTAGCAGTTTTGTCGCAAAACCTTCCATTTTGTATTTGTGTAGGCTACGTGTTGGTACTTGCAGAGCACTTTTTTAAGTGTCATCACTCTTTAGCTGTCAGAATTAGCGCTAAAGTTTGTCATGATGTGGATGCAAGAGCCTGTTATTTGGCTAAAAGCCTCCATTTTGCAGCCGGAACACACTTTTCTCAGGTTTCATTTTGCATTTTTGTATTTTCTCTTGTTACAAACAGAGGCTTTCATAAACACTGGTAGTACAATTAGCAAGCTAACTGCCAACAAACACTTTTCTCTTTTCTCTCCTTCCCCTCCTGCCTTCACCTCTTGCCCCTCTTTTTCCTTCCTGGTTCCCTCCTCCTGTCAGGTGCTTTGGCTGGCCTGATTGACATTGCTGCTGATTGGATGAACGACCTGAAGGAGGGCGTGTGTCTGAGCGCCATGTGGTTCAACCACGAGCAGTGCTGCTGGACCTCCAATGAGACCACCTTCGCTGAGAGGGACAAGTGTCCTCAGTGGAAGAGCTGGGCTGAGCTAATACTGGGGCAGGCCGAGGTAGACTAACACAGGCACAGAATCAAACGCTGTCTTAACCCAAAATTTGCAATCTGTGTGAATCACTACATCGGATTTATGGGAACAATTTTGGTCACATGAGGCCTAGAATAGTTATAGCACTAAAACATGTAAGCACACAACATGTGATAAATCCTCTTGAAAATTAATTGCTGAGGCATAACGATCAAAAAATAGTCCATTTGTTTAAGCAAGCTGAGACATCAGGTGAGTGTTAAAGGGTTAAAACAATGCAGTGACAAAGGGAGAAGGAGGCGGCTGGTTCTAGAAGAAAAAGATATGGATGGAAGAACAAAGCCCAGTCTGCAAAGCATACTTAAATCCCATCACACACACACATGCCCACCTATAGATGTGCTCTCAGGCGTTCTTACAAACTATTGATGTGATTTCTGGTGCCAGCGACTTTTCAGATTTTGCCTCTTAAACTTTTCTTTCTCTCTCTCTTTCCTCCTCTCCTCTGTGCAGGGCCCCGGCTCATACATCATGAACTACTTCATGTACATCTACTGGGCTCTGTCCTTTGCCTTCCTGGCTGTGTGTCTGGTCAAGGTGTTCGCTCCGTACGCCTGCGGCTCAGGGATCCCCGAGGTGAGGAGAATGTCATTTTTGTGAATCCCTTTTTCAAAAGTGCAGCTGAAACTTTCTTGCAGCTGCAGCCACAGTGTGCTTTGAAACCTCTCTTTGCAGCACATTCTCGTAGGAAGCTCTTGAACTATTGACTTGAAAATTGCCTTTTGAGCGGCGGCATTTCAAACAGCTTCACGTTTTAGACAGATCTTCCCTTTTCTTTGTTCAGTCGCACAGCTCAGCACTGCTTTTCATTATTTGTTTGTTGTCAAACTAATGAGGCAAACAGAGTATTCCTTTTTGAATCCCTTCCAGCTATTTATTTTCTGTTTTTTCTCACCTCTGATCGATTCGCTGGGGATGTCACGAACTCAAGAGCAGCACAGGAGATAAAACGTGTATTAATCTCTGCAGCGGCTTATAGCTCTCCGTGAAAGTGGCCAGTCGGTAGTCGGTTATGTGCACTTACTGGGAAACCGCACGGTGCGTCTTCATGCTTTTAATGTCTTGAAGCGCCTTAAAATTGTTAATTCAGTGGGCAGCGGAGAGATGTGAAAGGCTTGACTGCGTTGTGAAAAAGCTATTTTGAGGTGAGCTTAAAAAAAAAAAAAAAAAGTGAGTTTAGTTGCCATGGGAACACAAAAGCTAGAAGGGAAGGTGAAGCCTGTATTAGCTGGTGACTTGGAGGAACAACATAATAGGATCAGAGATGCAGCTAAAGCAGCAGCTTGGTGAATTTGCTTAAAGATGCTGAAAAGGCAACTCAAAAGCATTTTAATAGAAGAAGATGAGGAGCGAGAATCTCTGACATTGGTTTTCTTAGCCTGGTTTATGGGAAATGGTGAGAAAAGGGAACGATTCAGGCGGCATGGTGATGGTGTTTAACTCTGTTGTGTCATTTCATTTTCCGTCAGCTCCCTTCTATGAACCTTTTGATTAAAGCACAAAATGACCCCAGAATACAGAAATAAAATAAATAAAATACACAAAATCCGAAAATCAAATTATTCCTCAATTGCACTGAAACGTATTGACAGACATTCATCATCGCTAAATTCAATATTTCCTGGTTCCAGCTTATCAGATTTGTTTTATAACATACATTTATTACTTTTGTGTCATTTAAAACAAGCTATTTGATTTACTGTAGGATCCCGATGAAGACAATGAGTGTTTGTCATGGGTGTTTTTTTTTTTACATTTTATTGACTAAATGATTAATAGATTAATTTCTAAAGAAAATAATTGGTATCCACACCCCTCATGTGATGTCATGTGGAAACCACAGACTTCTTTTTTTTGTGATACTAATCCTTGAGTCTCACTTTGATGTCACAATATGATGCTGCATCAAAAACTACATTAAGCTTTCCTTACTTGTTTAGAGCTACTGTGTTTATCCAGAAGGGTTTATCTGTTCAATCAAAAACTGAGGAACAAAGGAGACGTTTCTTGCCTGGTTATCCATAGTAGAAATCCAAGCCGTCCTTCCTGTCTCCCCCAGATCAAGACCATCCTGAGTGGGTTTATCATCCGGGGCTACCTGGGCAAGTGGACCCTGATGATCAAGACCATCACTCTGGTTCTGGCTGTGGCGTCTGGCCTCAGCTTGGGGAAAGAGGGCCCCCTGGTCCACGTGGCCTGCTGCTGTGGGAACATCTTCTCCTACCTCTTCCCCAAGTACAGCAAGAACGAGGCCAAGAAACGAGAGGTGAGAGACAAGAAATATGAGCCACAGCAACAGAAAAGGCGTTTATCTCTTTCTCCTGTGTATTTGTATAATCATTGTGTGTTTCAGAGTCAGCTTACTTGTTTGTGACTGCATGTAGAAACTCATCACATCAGCTGAGGAGTTTGTTTTTGCCCTCTCAGGTTCTTTCTGCTGCGTCGGCCGCCGGGGTGTCCGTGGCTTTTGGAGCGCCAATCGGAGGAGTTCTCTTCAGCTTGGAGGAGGTACACCGGCACATCATCAAATTACTCTGCAGCATGATTTTATTGCTCACTAATCACAGCATAACGCTTGATGAAAATGGCAGGATAATTAATTAAACACTCCACCCATAGCTAATCCTGTAACCTCTCCTGTTCTCTCCCCCACAGGTGAGCTACTACTTCCCCCTGAAGACACTGTGGCGCTCCTTCTTCGCTGCCCTGGTGGCCGCCTTCGTCCTGCGCTCCATCAACCCTTTCGGTAACAGCCGCCTGGTGCTGTTCTACGTGGAGTACCACACGCCGTGGTACCTGTTCGAGCTCATCCCTTTCATCCTCCTGGGGGTGTTCGGGGGCCTGTGGGGCGCCTTCTTCATCCGAGCCAACATCGCCTGGTGCCGGCGGCGCAAGTCGACGCGCTTCGGCAAGTAGCTCGAGATCCAGGAGTTAACATGAAATATGTCAACAAGATGTGGGAATAAAAACCGACTGATAAGGAGACACAAAAAAAACTTGCTCAGCCAGAAATACAAGTTGAACAACAGTTGGTCTATGATATAATTACAGTGTGCTTGAAATACTGGCTGAAAATATACAGATAGAACATTATATTATCCTGATCTAATCTCTGAAAAAAGTAAAAATATTGAACCTTTTCTTGTTATGCACACTTTGTCTACAGTGTCTGAATTAAAAAACATCTTTTTCTGTTTCACGTCTACACATGACTATAACAGGCTCTCCACTACTTCTCACATTGCATCACTACTTACAGACTTTCTGTTAGACCACTGACTCTTGTGTTCAAAGACACACCTCAGCTTCTTACCCATTTTGTGAATATATGACTGTATCTCCATTGAAATGCTAGTTTGAGGCCCAGCATGCTACCAGCCTCTCACACTCTGCCATGTTGCGTCCCTCTGTTTAGGTAAGTACCCGGTGCTGGAGGTGATCTTGGTGGCGGCCATCACTGCAGTGGTTGCTTTCCCAAACCCCTACACCCGCCAGAACACCAGCGAGCTGATAAAGGAGCTCTTCACCGACTGCGGCCCGCTGGAGTCCTCCCAGCTCTGCCAGTACCGCAGCCAGATGAACGGCAGCAAGGCCTTCACAGACAACCCCAACCGGCCAGCGGGGCCCGGCGTCTACTCCGCCATGTGGCAGCTCTGCCTGGCGCTCATCTTTAAAATCATCATGACTATATTCACATTTGGACTCAAGGTGATGCCTGGAGAACAGAGAAGCTGTTTTCACCCTGCACGTCCTTATCAGCACTAAAACACTGTGGCCGTTTCTCATCCTCAGGTGCCGTCGGGCTTGTTCATCCCCAGCATGGCCATCGGGGCGATCGCGGGGCGAATTGTTGGCATCGCCGTGGAGCAGCTCGCCTATTACCACCACGACTGGTTCCTGTTCAAAGAGTGGTGCGAGGTGGGAGCCGACTGCATCACTCCGGGGCTCTACGCCATGGTGGGGGCCGCGGCCTGTCTGGGTGAGTCATGCATAGAAACGATTAGCTCGTCACCATCACCTAAAGGTTCAAGGCTTTATTATTTTTAAAGTCATCAGTGTCGAGGGCTGGTCCTACAGCATTATTGATGTTGCACAATTTTACTTTCACTATTGTCTTGTATTTGCAGGTATTTACCTTCACCTTACTGGCTCAAAGTGTCTTTTAAATTAACTGTATTTTGCTTCTTCCGTAATAGGTTCAATTCTTCAATTTAGACAATTTAGCATCTTGTTATTGTCACGTGATTACAAGAAAACTGACAAATTACAGATCTTGTGCAGCCATTCTTGTGTCCATTAGTAGGAAATGCATGCTTGTGGGATAAACTGTAGTTTTCTGCAGTGGCATTATGAATAAATAGAAGAAACAAGGTTGTTTAAAGCCTTATTAAGAGGATCGATTTTCACTTTGACTCAGGGATGCGTGCTCTTATTTTTCTGCATAAAGTTGCCCTTCTGCTGTTGAACTTGATGACGCACACACTGTATCTTTGTTTTTACAGCGTTGCCTCCTCTTTGTTTTATGTCTCTTTAATATCAAAGTGAAACACCTCTAGTTGGAGTCCTTATTCTTTGTCTAGATGTGTGTTAACATTTGTTTCTATCGTCCTCCGTCTGTAGGTGGAGTGACTCGTATGACCGTCTCCCTGGTCGTCATAGTGTTCGAGCTGACCGGCGGGTTGGAGTACATCGTCCCCCTCATGGCCGCCGTCATGACCAGCAAATGGGTGGGTGACGCGTTCGGCCGAGAGGGGATCTACGAGGCCCACATCCGCCTGAACGGATACCCCTTCCTGGACGCCAAGGAGGAATTCACGCACACCACGCTGGCCAGAGAGGTGATGAGGCCTCGACGCAGCGACCCCCCGTTGGCGGTGCTGACGCAGGACGACCTGACGGTGGAGGAGCTGCAGGCCATCATCAATGAAACCAGTTATAATGGTTTCCCTGTCATAGTTTCCAAGGAGTCCCAGAGGCTGGTGGGCTTCGCTCTGCGTAGGGACATCACTATTGCTATTGGTAAGACTGCAGAGCGTAAGGAGGGTTCTGCACAGAGTAAATGGGCTATTATATGTATATGGAGGAGAAAACATGAAGGATCTTTGGATAGAAGCTTCGCCAAATGAATGTAAGTTTATTAAAAGGTACATTCTTTCATTTAATCCCTTTTTTTGTGTGTCTGTCAATAGAAAATGCTCGCCGCAAGCAGGAGGGCATAATGTTGAACTCCAGGGTGTACTTCACCCAGCATGCACCCACCCTGCCCGCCGACAGCCCCCGACCCCTCAAGCTGCGCTCCATCCTGGACATGAGCCCGTTCACCGTCACCGACCACACCCCCATGGAGATCGTGGTGGACATTTTCAGAAAGCTGGGCCTGCGCCAGTGCCTGGTCACTCACAACGGGTAAGTAGGAAATGAAAGACAGTTCTGTATCGGGGGAGGAAGGTTGTAATGTAAGAATCCAGGGTGAATCCTTCTCACATCCTTGTTTCTGGTGTTGTTATGAATGCTTAACCCGTCTGAGGTTGACCGGCGTCGCACAAACACATGTACACACTGTCTGGTGTTGCATGGGCTCGAGGATCCCTGGATTTACCCCCGTATAATCTGCATGGCCTGGCCTAATCGCTGTGCTGCACTTCCTTTATCCTTCCACTGAGCAATAACAGACAGTCTCTTCAGCAGAAGCGACGGAGCTACTGATCCAAACTAACCACGACCGCATAACAGGTGTCATGTTGGGAGAATACCGTCGATAAAATCCGCTCACGTGGAGTCTGAATGTGAGAAAAGAAGGTTGTACCTCTGTGAAGAAGCTGTTTGTCAGATGATTTCTAACTGTGTCAGGACTGTCCTTTACAATTAGTGGAACTAAATTACCAGTGTCTCGCTGTCTATTCTGGTACACACTCAGGAGTTCCAGGAGTCTAATTTTGGTTTTTGCGGAGCGCCGCCTGCTGGTGTGACGTAGAAATGACAAGACAGATTGTGCTTACGAGGTGACAAACTCCTCGTTCTACCGACCAGTTCTCGTGTTTGCTGTGTTGGAGAGGAACTGAGCAGCAGTGTTTGTTTTGATTTATTTGCATCTTTGTGGTTAAGTTTTATTTATGTCTGAAATAATAAAACTGGGGGTATGCGATATTTTTCTTGTCAACAAATCTCATAAAAGAAAAACCCATCTGTCAGTGAAGCCGTTTGAAAATAGGTTACAAATATATACTTGTATTTGTAAAGAGGGCCACATAGGACCCTAAAATGTGACTAAACACGAGCAGATAAGGCATTTATTGAGGTTTTTAGCAACAAATAATTTAGTTGTTAGTGATTATATTAGCAGCAGGATGGGTTAGGGTGAGTTTGCATGTCTTCCAGTATGAAGGAACTTGGTATGTTGTACTGTTTTAATCATTTTTAGACCGTATTAAAGCTCTGTACTAATTAGGATCAAGCTTGTTTGGTATAAGTTGATGTGTTTATGTTGGTTTTGCTCTTTTTATGAGATTTGTTGACACATAGAAAAATACAGTACATCACCAGACCAATAGTTCCATCATAACACATGTAAAATTAATTTATAACATCAGACTTTATTGCATTTTGTGTCAATTGAGTTGTTTAATTTTGAGTTGTATTTTCAGTTAGTATTTTTAAGTTACTCCCTGTTATGTATGTTTTGTGCAGAGCTCCCAAAAGGTCACGACGAGAACTTTTTTCAGACTATTTCTGCGTTTCCTTGCAGTATGCTTTACACTTTGTCTGACCCATACGAACAGCTGGTGTGTTGGTCTAGTTCAGTTATAACACACCGCCAGGTTAGGGAAACACTGTGCAGTTACAACAGAAAGCAGAGGTATTGTGATGCGTTCATTGCTCGTTACTCATCTTAAAGGGTGAAGCTGTGGCTGGATATACGGTGACTGTTACTGCTGTGATTCAATCTGTGGTGCTGGGAACGTTTCCAGCTGCTACTGTTTGAGTCTGCGGTGCTTCCGTGACAGATGTGTTAGTAAAACACAGCAGGGGTTCGGAATTACAGTAGCTTTACTACAAACCTCAGCCAGCAAAAGCACCACTTTGCTCACACGACTGCTGACATGCAGCCAGCGTGATGACCGTTCAAAATGGATGCGTCACAGAAATGATCGTAACAACCGCAGCACAGCCGTGACTGCAGCCACAGAGGCAGCTGTGTCATCCAGAGACAGCAGCTCGTCTCAGGTTTTCTGTCAGAGGATTATTAAAACACACGATACAGCATCATAACACAGCTCAGCCGTATTCATGGCTCAGAGGAAATGCAAAACTTACTGCAAGGTAACACAAAGGGAAAAAAAAGTTCTGGCCGTGACCTCAGGAGGGCGCTGTACTTTTGTGCTGCTGCTGTCTGTTCTCTCTCTGTCTCTCCTGTGTTTGTTTATTTGTTGTTGTTGTTGTTTTGGGCAGCCAACCGAGTAACGGGTGTGTGTTTCAGGATTGTGTTGGGCATCATCACAAAGAAGAATATATTAGAGCATCTGGAGGAGCTCAAGCAGCACACGGAGCCCCTGGTGACTAGCCCCGCCCCCCTTCACATACGTGACCTCTCCCCCACTTTCGCACCTGTCTCTTAGGCTCCGCCTCCTCGGAGGAATGCATGAAAACGTGGTGTGAAAAACCTGACAGTTCCCGGCTAAACATTACGCCCTCCCTTCTCCTCTTTCTGACTCCTCTGTCGTTTGTGGGCTGGTTTGTTGTGGACTTACCTCTGATGAAGAGTGTCGACGTTCTCTCTGACCTCCATCTTCATCGCTGGTAGCGGTTTTAAAGTGTAGAAAAGGTTTTTGGCGGGTCCTGTAAAGTTGGGCCTTAATGGGAACTGTCACCCACATCACTCCAGAGCCCCTTTCAGACATGAGAATCATTAGTTTCTACAGCAGTGGAAAAATAAACTATTTAAATTAGTGACAATTAGGTTTGATTTTCTCTTATATACAATATTTTATATACTAAACAATTTCCCAGATCAAGGTTAAAGTAAAATCAGCTTAATAAACCACTGAAGACTTTAAATATAAAGACCACCTCGGAGGTTTGTGGCAATCATCAGACCACAAGTGTCCACAAATATGATTAAGACTCAAACGTTAAATGAATGTAAAACCGTTTACATAACACACGTGAGTGAACAGGAATTAAAAAAGCGTCATAATGTCATATTTTGTTTTATAGCCGATTTATGGACTGTTATAGGCTATAAACAGGCTGCCGGATACTTTATTTCATCTAATTCATGATAACGCTGGTAGAAATCGGGGCTGATAAGATTAGAGAGAATCTGAAGTGAATGTCTCCTCTGCTAACGACGGTCATTAATTCTGCTTTGCAGATTCATTAAATCCATTACTGGTGTGGCAGCTCAGAGCGACTCAAGATTTTCCTTCCTTAATGTGATTGTTGTTCAATACGCTGCTGTTCTCAGTGTCACCGCGAGAAATAATGTACAGGCACTGCCGCAGGATGCGTCTGAACAGACATTAAAGAGATCTACTAGCACATTAAAATAAGCCAGATTATGAGCTTTTCACAATAATTTATTGTGTTTGTCTGCAAAAAAAACTTTGCATAAGAATTCAACTGTGTAGAAATGATTTGTAGCCCAAAATCAGGGACAAAATGTTCACTTAACGTCAGTAATTCAAGCTATAGAACTTGATTTGTACACATTTTGAACACATTAGTGCCTACAAAGTGTCTTATATATTACAATATAAAGATTAACAGTAGAGCAATGTTAAATCTAATGCACACAGGAGGTAAATATAGTGTGCATTCAAAAAAATAATTTAAAAAAGTTGATAAAACTTATTAAAATAGCTGAAAAGCAATGAAATAAAATCAATGAGAGGAAATCGAACATTTTAAAATAATACAGTTAATTATAACAAATATAATGTACATGATTCAATAAATTAGGTAATGGATGTAAGATATATTTGTGTAAGTAACTCTTTAAGTTCTTAATCTATACTTAGATGCTCACAAATTGTTTTAAAAAAAAATCAATATCATTTGTTTGCAAATTTCTACTCAGATAACTGCAGATTTTTAAGATTTGTAATCATAGAGCGCACTGCAAATTCAAAAATCTTAGTTTCTTTTACTTACATGTTTTAAAGCTCTAGACTTGGAAATGACTTTTGAACATTATTTTACGACTTCTATTTGAACGTCTGCATCAAAAAACCCTGGTTTAAGGGGTCAGGTGGTGAATCTGATGCAGTGTTGCAGCCTCCATGTCTGAAAAGGGCTCCGTAGACTCCCAGAGTGCAGCTTTGCATCTCATCCCATTTAGACTGCATTCGCCCCTCCTGTAGCTCTGCTTAGTGCTGCATCAGCTGCTTCTTGCTAGCACCTTAACCAGATGTTCATCACGCTACTTCCTCTGACACTTCTACTCATCACAGCCACGCAGCTTTCATGTATTGACAGCAGGATTGTGATTATATGCTGTATAATCGATCCCAGGTAGAACACCCTCAGCATGTCTGCAGCCATGTCACCACCACCATGCCTGTTGTGTGTTTCCCCACAACCTCCCTCTCACAACAGTAGCCGTTCAGTTCATTCCAACTTCAAATTTTCTGCCTTCATTAACGACTGCTTTTTCCTCTTTTTGTTTTTTTTGTTTTTATCGAACCCCCCTCCCCTCCACACTCTCGACTCCGTTGGTTCTCCACAGATCGACGACATCTGATCCGTCGCCTTTACAACACTTTGGCGAGTAGTTAGCCGCCTTGGGAAAGCGGACCACCGTTGTTACTCTCAGAGGGTGGTGTTTGTCACTAGGAGGGAGGGGGACGATCTAGAGTGATGCGATTCATTCCCACATTCCCCTCATTGTGTAGTGGTAGTGCGCGTGGGTGAAGTGTCGTTGTTGTGTTGACTGGTGCTCGTAGTGCTGTAGTTCAGCTGGTTAGCGTGTGCTGATAAGGCCTTGGTGAAGTAACTACTAATTCTGTGCTTTAACCCGCCAATGTTTCCTCTAAGCCAGCAAGTGTCCTGCCTTCTTCAGGAGAGAAGAAACAAAAAAAAAAAGACTTAAGTGGAGTCAAAGGTCACAACAAATCAAGGTTCACACAGATTTAGATTTATATTAGATACCTGCAGGCTCTACGAGTTAGTCGGATACATGTGAGCAGAAAATGAAGTTGGTAAATATTTACTGCAGTGACAGGCTTGAAATAACTGAATAAAATTAGCAAACAAAAAATATGTTTAGGTAGCTTGCTTGTCATTTGTTGTTGGGTCATAGTTTTGTTTATTTGTTAACATAATTTACCAGAAATGGACCATCTAAGACATGTTTCTAATCTCAAGATTAATGTCTGAAACATACTTTATCCTTCCAAATTGGTGGTGACTAATAATCATATGAATTGAGAGTGACAGGATCATGAACACTCCAGCATCTGATGAGAAAAAAAGGGCAAAAATCTACAAAACCAAAGTCATTAATCACTGATCTAACACACGATTTAAAGGCTGACTGACTCAGTTTTGCCATTTATACAGACGTCCTCAAATGTATTCATCCCCTTCCATTAAAGAAAAGGCAAAATTCACAACAGTCACTGAAATAACTAGAAACCGAAAAAAGTAATAATAAATAAAAATTTGCTAAATTATAACTTAGTTAAATAAGATGTTGCGTTTGAATTGTGGTTGAAAAGAATAATTTAAAAAATAAAAAACTGTCCCAAATGAGAGCACTTTGCTGATGAGCAGTGAAATCAGAATACCTGTCAACAGGAGCAGACTGAGAGTTACAGGAAACACCTGCTGGCAGTGATTGGCTCAAAGGGTCGTTCAACTAAATATTAGTTTACGGGTCCCATCACGCTTGTTTGCTTTTTTTTTTTTTAAATATTTCTGTTGAACCACAATTCAAAAGCATCGTCATGATGTTCATTAAATGTTTATTTATTACTTCTTTTGTCAATTTCAGCTTTTTTCAGTGACAGCTGTTTGTTTCCTTCTTTAATGGGAGGATATGAATACATTAGAGGACGACTGTACCTGCTGTCTGATGGTCTGGTCGATAAATGTAAGAAATCGTGAGTCAAAGTTGGCTTCAGTGGAAGTCAAACTAGAGATGAATATTTCTGTGAAATGTTCCAAATTTATAAAGAGCCTTTTATTGACCTCCTCATCTTAAATCAAATCAAGTTTATTGTCATGTTGCTGTACATACACAGTAGTACAGGCAAGATGAGAAAGTGTTTCTTCAGGATTATTCAAGAAACGCTCTCTGATTACAGATTACTGATCACTAAGCAGCAAATTAAACCCTCTCCTCTGAACACAATTCTAATTAGTTTTATTGTAAAAGTAAATGTAATTCTAGGCGGCGTTTAAAGGTCATTTTAAAAGCCTTAAGTCTAGCTGTACCTTCACTAGTTTCCCTCTGAGTGTCCACTTGACTCCATTAACTTGATGAAGGCCCTGAACGAGGACCGGGCGCTGCTGGCTGTACAGGGAACATTGCGTTCACCCTCCTCCCCTGATGCACCCTGATCTGTACCTGGTGTCCCAAGTGTCTGCTCAGAAAAGGAACGCTCATGACGGCAGATCTCTGCAGCTCTTGGGGGGACTCGGGTCGGATCTGCGTGACGTGTCACCAGTGTTTCACGGGCTGTAGCTCTAATCCCCCCTCAGGTCATCTCAAGTCCTCTCACTCAGACCTGGGTTCAAATGTTTGCTTCAGCTCCTTACGAGTCTGCTTTATCTGCCTTCTAGGGTTCAAACGCAGCTGAAATTTCAATCCCAATACACCAATTCTCACTTGTTCATCCGACAGTGTTAAAACGAAAAGCTTTTGGACCCAGCTCTGCACTGTTTGTGCTCTGTAGCAGATCGACGGCTTCTTCTTCTCACTGCTATCACCTGTTTAGGCTTCAGATGCTTCTCTTCACCTGATCTCAGACGACAGTCACGGCTGAATTCAAGAGCACGTTTTGGTCATGTTTGAACAGCTCCAAGATCAAAGTCATTAAAAACTCTCAGCTGGGGCTCTTGAATCAGCAGGAATGATCTTGACTGACAGAATAATTAGCAGTGTGTCACTAAGTAGATGTGCTTTGTAGTAAATGCAGAAGAAGAGCGGAGGCAGCTTTGTCACAGGAGTCAGACATCGCTTAGATTCCCACTGAAATACTGATATTGTTGTCACATGACAGTTCATAACAACTTGAATCTTATGTTTTGTATTTGCAGCCATCATTCCTGTTTGGATTAAACACCAATGCTGAGATCTGCAGCAGCACCACTAAAAATAATCAGACGGGGCATGAAATATGAAAACAAAGCTTAAATGTAGAATCATTACCTTAAAGTCCAGTTTTTGGCGGGTTGATTTTTGCTCCAATATTTTTTTAAAAGTTGTTCTGTGATCGTCCAGCTGCAGAAATCCACATGAGAGAGGATCTGTAGTTACAAAAACGTGCTGTTACACCCTGGGTTTTACCTCTCAGGCTACATCCACACTAATAGATTAGACTTTGAAATAAAAAAAGACCTCTGAATGAGCAGAAATATTCTTTGTTCATACTGACAACCCTGAAAACCATTATCACATGACTGTTCATGTACACATGAAGCAGAGATTTCTTTAACAGAACAACAGCTGCCAGCAAAGACATCAAGGTCGTAGGTGTCTGAAATTGATTATCTATGTTGCATTAACCACTGGTACTCCAAGCTGATGTCTTTGTTCTTTATCTGGAAAATGTTGTTTGATAGGAGCGAGGCAAATCAGGAAAAGAACTTGGTGACAGTTTAGTAGGAAAGCAGACTCAAACACAACTCCTGAAGCATCCAAACTAAAATGGATAAACAGCAGAAGTTTTGAAACATACCTTAAACCAGGGATCTCCAACTCCGGTCCTCGTGAGCTGCTGTCCTGCAGGTTTTAGATGTTTTCATTCTGCAACACAACTGACTCACATGAATGGATCTCCAACAGCTTGTTGTCAAGTTCTACACAAGTCTGTTAATGATCCGTTCATTAGAGTCAGGTGTGTTGCAGTAACATCTAAAACCTGCAGGACAGCAGCTCACGAGGACCGGAGTTGGAGATCCCTGCCTGAAAGAAATACCTGCAGACACTACTGAGGGCTGAAGAAGCACATGTACTTAGTTTTTTTGTTGAAAGTTGATGCTGTTTTCTAAGAAAGATTAGAGACTGAACGTTAAGTAAATATAAAGACAGTAAAGCAGTTTGGTGTAAACATGCAAAAATTATCTGTCGTAAAGTGTGATTTATTTATAGAGAAACTGAAGAGCTACATTTGACGTTTATTATTTGCTTGCCCTGTTACATTTAATGAATTAATAGAAATGATGGTGCAAAGTGCAAAAGTAAGAGTGGAAACTGGAATTAGACTTCATCTGTTCATTCTTATCTTAGAAGTACAGTTTATTGATTTAATTTGACATCTTATTAAAGATTTAACATCTGTTGTGTGATCGACTACACAACGAAACCAGAAGTTAAAATAGGGCTGCAACCGATGTTTATTTTCATTGTTGATTAATCTGTCAATTTTCTCAGTTAATAAGTTAGTTTTTTGGTCTATAAAAAGTCAGAAAATGGTCAAATATGTTTCCCAAAACCAAAGATGACGTCCTCTAATGTCATGTTTTCAGTTTATGCTCATTGAGGAGTAAAGAAAACAGAAAATATTCACATTTAAGAAGCTGGATTTAGAGAATATTGTTCTTTCAAACAGATGAATCGATAATGAAAATGAATCTAATTGCAGCTCTAAGACCAAAGCAGAAGATTTAAAAAACAAAAACAAACAGGACAGAAGTGACTCCGCCTGACTCCTGCCACAGAGGCGCCTCCTCTCCTCTGAGGATCTAACTGTTCTCACCTCCTGTTCACGGCCTCCTGTCTCCCCCTGTAGGATCCAGCTCCTCCTCCTTTTTATCACCAGCTTTTAGGATCGAAAACCGTAGAGCGGCCGGGGATAGTGTGTGAAACGACACCCTGCTCTGAGGCGGGTGGCTGGGTGCTGTTTCTGACCTGCTTTCACCTCTTTTTCCCTTCAGTTACTCACCTCCTCCTCCTCCTCCTCCTCCTCCTCCTCCTACTTCTGCTGACTTTTGCTTCCTCAGGGACTCGTGTTTTTGTTGGCTGCATCCAGATATTGATTTTCAATGAATCAAATTAAACCACGTGTCTGATTAAACAAATCCTCGCCAACAAAAACACGAAGTTGTTTTCTCTCCTTCACTCCAGCTGTAAACCACCTGCTCTCCTCCTGTGTTTGTCTAAAATCTCTTCTTCTTCTTTTGTCCTCGTCCCTTTTCTCCTTTGTCTCCACCTGCAGGCGGCTTCTTGGTATTATCACAAAAAAAGACATCCTTCGTCACATGGCTCAAATGGCAAACCAAGATCCAGAGTCCATCATGTTCAACTGATCCGCTCCTTCCAGGACGGCTGGGGGGGAGGAGGAGACGACAGCGAGGAAGAGGAGGAGGAAGTGTGTCTCCTGAACGGCTCCAATCTCTGACATTCGGCCCCCGTTTGGTTTGTTTTTTTGTTTTGTTTTTTCTTTTCGTTTTAGTTTTCGGCTTTGTAGACCCTGAACCGAGTGACTGTGGCCTCCAGAGACTTACCGGCCACGCGAGGGGGAAAAAAAAAAGACGATGATAAAAGACTTTTGTTATCATCAGTCTGGCTGCTGAGGACGCTACAAGGTCCTGGGTTGAAGGCACACACACATAAGAGGAAATGCACTTTTTACACACACACACACACACGTGCAAAATCAAACATGAAAAAAAAACAAACACACTTTTGCACTTGCAGACACCTCCAACATGCATGCTGTCTCCACACACACACACACACACACACACACACACACACACACCCACAAAGCTCCCTGAACCTGTAAAGTTACACCCATTTGCACTCTTCACGTGCCTCACCCTTGTCCTGTCTCCGCTGGTGGACGTCGCCTGGCTGGGGTCAAAGGTCGGAATGAACCGCCGAAAGAGGGACGCGATGAGGGACCTTGAAACCCTCCAGGCTCCGGTTGAAAATAAGGCCCCCCTCCCCTCCCCTCCCCTCGCACACACCTGACCTGTCCGTCCTCCAGAAAAACACATTGTTTACCTGTGAATTAAGCGTGTGAGAATATGTGTGTGTGCGAGCGTGTGTGTGTGTTCCACTACATTCCAGCCGGGTTACCATGGGAACTGGGAGGATGTGCACCTGCTCCTCGCCTCCCCTCGAAAACACGGCAGTCTCTCGTGATTGCGTCATGGCACACGGCTGCTCCCCTGTCTAACAGAGAAGGCTTTAATGTGTGTGTGTGTGAGTGTGTGTGTGCGGAAGAGAGAGAGGGCGGTCGAGAGACACAGATGGTACTGTATTTCAAGAACAAAAATGTTCCCTTTCAGAAGAAGTGGAAATGGAAGAGCTTCATGTGTGAGTGTGTGCGAGTGTGTGTTTCATTTCTGAGCCAGCTTGTGAGTGAATGTGTGTGAAGACAGGTCGAGTGTGTACATAAAGAGGAAAAAAAAAAAAAAAAAAAGGAAAAAGTGTTGAGTTGTGTCCCAGAGATAAATCACATTTCTTCTCCTTCTGCTACCTTTTCAACTAAACTCTAACCGGCTTGAAGTAAAACAAAACTGGAAATGTGTTTAGAGTTAAAAGCTTGTGAAGCTGTGCTGAAGGTGGAAGACGATGCTACGTCGTGACTTCTTTTATTTTTTTCTTCCTCAGTAATCCAGGTCTTCAGGAAATAACACGCAGAGCTACAGGTTGTCACATATCCTCCCTCAGTTTATCAAAGCTCCGTCTCTCTCTGAGCCCCCGCAGGTATTGTTCGACACTCCAACCCGATCTACACAACAAAGCCTCAGCGGTACACCTGTGCACGCTAAAAAGGGATATTTGATCTATTTGGCGCCATGATTGAATCCTGTTTTTGGTTTAACCTGCGCTGTGTGGCAGATAGTTGAGATTTAGACCTTTAAAAATAGAGATTAACAACATTTAACATGCTTTAAAATGGCAAACTGATATCAAACTAACTTGTATATTTAATGTAATTACTGATTCACTTTCAATAAAAATGACCCAATGTTGACAAAACTGCCCCTTGAAAAGCAGTCCAGGCATTTATATCTTAACATATCTGACGGTTAAGTTATAAATCCTCACATTTGAGAGCTTAAAACCAGAAAATGTTCAGCATCAGTGCATCACAAATTGTTAGAAACTAAACCTTAAACTTTCTAAACTTTAATCGAAGCCACTGGTCCTCCAACTCCAAGCAGGTAAAAACTAATTTAAAGCCTCTTATCTTTGAATGCAGGTAGATTTAACATGAGTCCTTAATACAAAGCAGCGACAGGTAAAAAGAGTGAAGTTATCAACTGAACTGGGGGAAAAATACCCTAAATGATGATAATAGAAAACTTGAACAGCTACAAAAGATCATTACCTTCAAGGTGAAGAACGATTTTTATGAACTTCTCTGCGTCCCTTAAAGCTAAAACTGCATCTGTCAATCTGAACATCTGCCCCCTGCTTTTGCCTCCAGCAGGTTTTGTTCGTGCTTTTCTGACCTCGCCACACCTGCCAAGTGCCTGGCAAAAGGTTTTTAGGCTTTTCACACTCATCTTTTCTGCCAACGTTTCCCTTTTTTAATCATCAAATATCCGACGTGTCGAGTGAACGTGATGAAGGGAACTGAAGCGACGGTGATGTTGAGCAGTAGCACCTTACCTGTAGAGTGTGTGTGAGTGTGTGTGTGTGTGTGTGTGTGGAAGGTGGGCGTTCGTCTTTGCGTTGCAGTGACTGTCCCGCTGTGGGTCGACAGGGAGCAGAGCATCGTCTTTGTTAACCAGTGGTGTTGCCTAACATTGTATTTCATACTGATCTCGATGTTTTTTCCTTTTTTTTTTTCTTTTTTTTTTATTTATGGGTAGTGTCGATAGAGTTGTGCATTATTATTATGAAGAATTTTCTGTATGATTACATTGATTGTTTGATTGTACATTTAAAACAAAATATGTAAAGATTAAAATTTTGTTTTAAATTAAAAGGAAAAAAAAGATTCAAGTTGCACAAATGGCTCTTGGTGGATATTTTTGGATTCGTCCCAAACAGAAGCTCCTTTACTAACTGCATCTCTTGGCAGGTTTTAATCAGACTGAAGACACATGACCAGGCTGCAGATGAAGTTTGAGGACTTTGAAGGTGACCTAAAGTCCTGAAAACTCCTCAAAGTGTTTGATTCAACAACCTGAATGTGGTCAAAAGCTCCAGAACGAGCCAAGTGGAGTTTTTTTGTCAACCATGTTTGAGTGAGACAGTTTTTCTGTTTTAGATAAAGAGCTAAACTCATCAGATTTGTCTTTACATGAAACAGCCAGCCGGGATATCGACTCAAAAATGTGCATCAGCTTCACTTGAATGAAGAAATATTTGATCACAAGACAAAGAACTCGACTATGAACCAGACAGCTTTAGATCCTTGGTGCTATAAACAGTTTAAAGTCAAAAAGAAACATAAAATAATACTAAAGGGAAACCTAGACTGCTCATTTTTAAAAGACTAGTCCACCAAGTTGATCCTAGAAGATCAAGATCTTTAAAAGTAGTTAAAAGCGTCGAACAATTTTCCTTAAAAAGGCTCTAACCTGCTGTTTCTGTCGTCTCATCCCTCCAGAACTCAAACGAGCGTCATTTACTGTCATATGTGGCAAAATATTTGCATTTTGGAGCTAAAAACTGCATATTTGCTTAAAAAAGAAAACAAGAAGAATCATTTTAAATTAGCTGATCTTAGTTTCTGTATCTGGGTCCAATTAAATTAAGTTTATATTAGGAATTATTATTAAATACGATTGATTTCACAATTACTGGTTTTCCTTTTCCCGCTTTCAATGTTAACGATGGTGAAATTGGTATTTATTTGCATTTCAAGGTGTTAAAAAGGTATGAAAGTGTTAAATTTAACTTTAACCCTGTCTGAAGTCTGGCTAAAAAACTTAAGTTCTGCTACCTCAGTTTTAATTACAGAGATGCCATTCTGCATAAGTGCACCCAATAACAGGCGCATAACATTCAAATCTTTTTCACTAATCTATTGGTCTGTTAGTTAAATGCATTCGGGCGTCTTATTTCACTAGTAAATACTTAACACAGTTTCCATTTTATTGGATTTTTCAAATCTGATGCCTCTGTGTTGCTGGATGTGTTCATTTCCCTACACTCTGAGCTCTTTTTGTCATCTCCAGACTTGCAAAAGCTCAACAGTGCAGGCAGAAACTGACCCTCGAAGTTCAGACTTATGACTTTGTTCCAGCACAGAAGTGGGACTGGATTCAGACCAGTTTCCCAACACAAAGCGGCTTTTGTAACTGGCCTCCAGTTTGAAAGTAGCTCAGAGACGTGACGGGGGCTGAAAGAGTCAGAGCTCCTCGTCTCTGTGTGTCCTGTTACACATCTATCATTCATGCCTCTGTCAGTCCACCACAGTGCTCACTCGCTGGCTTTAGAAAGCTGAAGGCCTGCATTACCAAGCCAGTTAAACATACCGGGAATATCTCCTCGCTATCTGGCTTCACTGAACCCAACAGTTGCTAAACAGAGCGATGTGGGCGCTTGAAACCCCAACAGAAGAATAAACCATGATCCTAAATCAGCATGAGGAGTTTAAGAACATAATACAAGTGGATCTGACTAGAATTACGATTGCATATTCCAATAAATGTGTTGCTTATCTGTAAGACAGTTTTACTCCTATTTCAGCTGCAGCCTTCTCAGTGTTTAAATGGACGTGATCATAAGTAAAAATCAAACATAAAAACATAATTCAAATCGTTAAGTCGGCTTACTGCAAAGCCTTTAAGGTCAGCAAGTACAAGGCTTTAGCGCCGCGAGTTCAGTCTCTGTTTAAGGATTATATCGTTGTACAAAAGGCTCGCTGGAAATAAAACTGCTTTGAATTTGTAGGAGTAGAAAAACTACCTGGGAAAAAAAATCTTGTCCTATTACATCTGTACTTGTCAGGGGGAAAAAAGGGTTTAGAGAGTCTAAAAAGGATCTATTTGAAAGCCAAAGGGGTAATAAATCGTCACTTATCTAACATATTTTTAAAAACAGCATTAAAATCAAACTGTCAGGAGGTCGTCGGTGCTCTATTTGCCAACTTAGACGTAAAGAAAGACACAATGCTCCATGTGGTCATTAAAAAAAGCACTAATATTGGCGTTTAGTGTCAAAGAGCAAGGTGTAAAAAGTGGCGTTTTCTTAAACTGCACTGATCCCAGCCTCTAGATCTGAACTGTAATCAACCAATCAGTAAAGAAGAAGGGCAGACCCCACCAGGTTTATGTACAGAAACAAAAATAAAATGAGCAAAAACAGCGTACAAACTGTCAGGGGACCTTCTACAAATGGTGATCAGTGGTTCCATGCACATCGATCTGTTATCTTGAACACACCCGAAGCAGGTGAGATATGCAGCATCAGTTACCATGGCGATGTACCCCACCTGTGAGGCAGTGAACCACCTGAAAAGTTACCTCATCGACCCCAAATCCTGCTTCGTGGTTCAGGCTTTGCCCTTTCAAAAAACAAACAAACAGGATTTTAACAACCAAAGTCCACTTAGGAGTGACAGATTTTAAGGGTTTTGTTGGAGTTTAAGGTGAGTTTTTAAAGTGATAATCTGGCATCACTTTCAACTTGTAGTTTGTACACACAGCTTTTTAGTTTGTAGGTTTATTCTATCGCTGAATGCAACAAGATGTTTATCTGCATGTCCACAGGAAACCACATCTTAGGACACAAAAACAGATTTCTGCCCATCTCACTCTGTTCTTCCGCTGACCTCCCTTCACAGCAGATTAATTTCCTCCATCACCTTTGTGTCACATCAGAAATGACGGCCTTGTAGCCATGGTTACCGCCGCCATGACAAAAGAGAGTCTGGCCTACGTTATTACCGCTCCTTACATAAACGCTACCGGAGCTTCCTACGTTTTGAATATCAGACCTTGACTGATGTTAAAATGACAGGACCGATATTCATCAGATCGCCTTTTTAGTCCTTTTTAGGTCTCAGCTGACACTTTATCAACATGTTTGTAATCGTACAAACCACTGTAGAGGGACGGCTAAGAATGAAACAACCTTGTTATGGGTATAATTCTGGTACTGAACGATGGCATCAGTATGGAAAGTGTGCAGTTTGTGTGTCCATGTTTCACTATAACCGAGTAAAGAGTCAATGACAGACCGTCTTCAATCACGTCTGTCTGTCGCTGCTGATAACTACAAAAACAACACATCTCAACCAAACTCCTTTTGTTTTGTTTTTTCAGCACAGCACTTCCATTTTATTCCACTACAAAAAAAGAGGCATCTCAAGAGCACCAGTAAAAGCAGAACAGCGTCCAGTTCATCTCCCCGTCGCACACTGGACCGTTAGCCAAGCAAAAGGAAGAAACAAAAGGAGTCCTTTTTTTTAGTCCCAGAGAAAGATGTCAAAGCTCTCCACCGTCCACTTACACATGCAGCAGGAACGCGACTGTACTGTAAAGCCTCTGCACAAGCAAGACGATGCAGAGAGATCAGGTCAGGAGTCAGATTCAACTTAAAGACGGCAAATGACGGAGGAAAAGAAGCTGCTTCTCTCTATGAGGAAGAAGGAGACAAAAGACTTTTTTTTTTTTTTTTTTTTAAATCTGCCTAAACTAGCTGAGAAACAAAATCACACCACAATGGGTAATAATATAATACTCTTACAAATATTTCAAAGGAATACAAATTCCACCCAGAGGTGTTTCCAATCAGGAAATATACTGACAGGTTCACCCAGCTTGCCCTCTTGTTTGTTTTTGTTTTTTTAGAAGTGCAGAAGGCCGTACAATCATGAAAATGTGACCCAACTCTTCGATATTTTTTTGTTTCAGTCCAGCATGCATCTCTAGGTGAGCAGAACATTGTAGGACAACAGCGGAGCGGCTGTAACAATAGCTGGATGTGAGTGAATTCTTGAGCAAATGGAGGAAGCCTTCTTTCATGGTTTCAAAAAAAAACATCATGAAGAGCAGCTTGAGGCAGATTTCTGGAGTTAGTCATAAAAACCCTAGCACTGTAAGAAACTAACTGAAAAATCATCCTCCCCCCCACGAGTGAAGTACCCTAACTCTTTAAATAATAGTCTGAGCTATGAAAATCTCAACACAGGAAATGTCCCTTTACAATTCTTTGCTTATTACATTAATAATATTGATTACTCCTCCTGTGTACATTCAAGCATGAAAATCCAGAGTGAAAAAAATGCTCAAGTTTCTAAAAACCTTTTGATTTGTTCTCAGTAGATCAGCCTACAAAGGTTTGAAGAGATTGTTACGTCCAGAAAAGATAAATAAAAATGTGATTGTTTCTCTCCAAAATGTGAAATTAAAATTGACCTTTTCTTTTCATTTTCAAGTGGAAATGCATAGCAGGAAAACGGATCCGTTTGTTTCGTCACACATGGCTCTCATAGAACACCTGGCTGGAAGGGGTCTTATCTGCCGTGGGCTCTGCAGCAGCCTGTTGGGCGTCCTGCTCTCCTTCCACCTCCGGCTGCTCCTCGTTCTGAAGAGGATCCAGCGGTGGGGGTGAGGAAGGGGGAGGAGAGGGGCTCGTGGCCTCCGGCTGGGGTGGTGGAGCTTCTATGCTGCAGTAACCACCGATGGCGAGCGGCGGGTGGACCGACACCTGGATGGCGATGTGCTGCGGCTGCTCCTGAACCGAGGAGTTGTCCGAGTCGGCGGCGGGCGACTCGCTGCGCTCCCTCTCCCGCCCTCGCTCCCTCTCTCTCTCCTGCAGGATGGTGAAGACGTCTCTCGCCCCGATGGAGGGAACCCTGCACGCTCCCTCGCGCCGCCCCTCCGGAGCTTGTCTGACAAAGGTATGCCTCATCTCCTCCACCCCCACCACCTCCAGGATCTCCTCCATGAAGGTGCGGCAGTTCATGATGAGCGGCGGCAGCGGGATGCTCCGAGCCAGCTCCTCGATGTAGCGCGCAAACTCCATGGTCTTGAACTGCGTTACCTTGGCCAGTTCCAGCGTTTTGGCCGAGGTGATGATGGGGATCCTCTTGGCGATCTCGAAGGCCTTCTGCAATTTCTCGGCACCCTCGGTGCGGAAGAATTCATTGATGGCTTTCTCCGTCTTCTTCAGGTGGCTACTCATCATGCAGAGGCGCGTGACGTTCAGGGCCATGATGATGGTGAAGGTGACCAGACACACCACCATGTAGTACACGCCCATGTCACCGTTAGTGAAGACCACACGCAGCGTCACCGTGCAGTTGGAGCTGCCGTGTACGTTGGACGCCATGCAGGTGTACTTGCCGCGGTCTGCAAACTCGATGCTGGTGATGTTGAGGACGCCATTGTCCAGCAGCCACCACTTCCCATCTACAAAATACAGAAACTCATGAGTATGGAAACCACCAAGTATCAACAAAAAACCAGAGAAACCACTAAAGGAAAGCCCCTGTTTACTACCTGGGGTTTTCTATGCTGCTCTTCTGGTCCTATTCTGATGGTAAAACTTGGTATTTGTTAAAAGAAAAACTGAATAATTAACTGCTGCTGTTTTTTTTACATTTCACAGTAATTTTTTTGCACTATTTCAGCATTTACTTTGGTGAATATAATGTCATTTAAAGTGACGGACCAAATGAAACAAAAAGAGAGAACTGTGATTTTTCACTACAGCTGATAACCACCTACAGCTTGCAGTTCATTAGTTTTGATATAACGTGGCAAAAACATCCTGACCTGCTTTTAAAAATCATGACTAATACCAGACACTACACAACCCACTGAATATGCAGTTTGCCCACTAAGTGACAGACTCTGAAGTCGGTTTAAACCCTGAAAATCCTCTTAATGCATCTGTTTCCCTGCAGAGTGACTCCACAGTAAACACTCCTCTGCAGTGTTTCTGCAGCTGACGTTTGCTGCTTTCGAAGAGGAACATGTTTCCTCCAATTTGCTGATGTTGTACTGTTCTGAATCTTTAGAGAACACACTGTTTTCGCCTCATGTCTGTAAAAACAAGTGCCTTTCTGTGCAGCCTGTTAGCATACAGAAAGTCTTTGAACAGCAGCATAATCTGTGATTTCATGCCTGGGCTAATCTCTGCTGCATGTGCCACGTTAGCGTGTGACGTGTACTTGATATCACATAGCTGATGGTTTTTAAAGAGAACATGTTGTGTTGCTGTGTGCAGACCAGCGAGCAGGAGCAACCCTATTGTTCCTGCCATGTTGTCAATATTTAAACAGAAGGCAGCGTTTCATCTTGAAACACGGCTCTGTGCGCTGAGGTTTCCACCACTAAACACAACAAGAACTATCTTTCACAGTATGGCGTGGAGCCAGCTGAACAAACATGAAAACATGTTCACAGGGCCGCTTGACAAAAATCCCGATGTCTCCATTTATGCAAAACATTTGACGGGACAGTATATTCTCATTTAAGGGTAATGAGGCCGGCTGTATAAGGTTTTACTCCTACCTTATAAATAATAACTAAATGATCGGATTGGCCACAGGTAGAAGGTGTAGCTACGTGCAGTGACAAGTAACGAGCAACACCAGTCAGACAAGACCAGCAGAGAGTAAAGCCCATAATGACAGCTGTACTGGAGTGAATCAAATGTGTTTTATGGTAGAACAAGTTCACATGTGCTGTTAAGAGCATTTGCACAGTTTGTGTGTGCAGCCTGGCTGTCATATGCTTACACTGATTGTTTGCTTTTGATCATCTTAACAAGGTGATGAGGCGTCTGTTCAAACAGATAAGCTAATGCTGTGGAAGCCTTCGTGCACTTTAAAGGAACAGTTCCATGTTTGGTAGATCAATACCACTCTCACGTTAGATAGAAAACTCCAGCCGGCTAGCTTGGCTCCGTCTCAAGCTAACAAAAAGCACTCAACAGCATTTCTACAGCTCACTGATCTACACATTATCTGTTTTCCTGTTTTACGTTTTTTTTAGCCATGTTTAGTTGTTGTGACATCTTCCACTTTGGGCCTGTTAAGAAACACACAGATCTCCTAGTAATAGTTCCAGTTTTTGCTCTGGGGCTGAACAATTTAGCGATTTCTAATTAAATTGCAATTTTAAACAATGCAATTAGGAAATCACAATTAGGATGTACATTATGCACATTATGGTTAAACTGCTGTGTTTCACAAATGCATGCTGTCCTCCTTGTTTGAGAAGTGAATAATGACCTTTAAATAATGATATAGCAAATCAGATCACAATATCCATCACAAAACCTGTAATTACATACTTTCCCCAAGTTGTTTAGCTACATTTTGCACTGAGCTAAGCTAACAGGTTGCTAGCTGTGGATCCACATTCAGCCATAGACCTGAGCGTGGTATCATTACTCAATAAGCTTATTTCTCAAGCTGTCAAACGAATTTCTTATCTGATAAAGTTCTGCATCCCATCACAATGTGGCTGGAAAGAGAAACCCCAACAAAAGCAATATCAAGCTCCCTGACATCTATCAGCTATTCCTATTTCCTGTCCTTGGTTGAATATTTGTTGGATGAATCCCTCAGTTGCATTTTTCCACCAGCAGCAAGGCTTCAGTGAATTCTGTTGCAACTCCTCCTCAACTACCCGCCGTCTCCACTGTGTGGGAGAAAGAAATCACAGAAGGCATCTCTAAATCTGTAGTATGAAGTCTGCAGACCAGAAAAACACTACTGCCGCCTTCTACTCTGCAAGCACGATCAATTTCTCACTCCGGTATCCTCCGGAGGAGATGAATGGGCAGTCAGGAAATGTAGCCTGGCCGACAAACAGCGTCCCACCCATCCGCCTTTTCATGCCAGAGCAAGTCTTCTAATTTTATCTCCACCAGCGATCATATGATGCGTTTGATGTGCTTCCCAATACTACAAGCAAGTTTGTAGGAAAAAGACAACACACAAACGATCCTGAGTAACCGACAACCTGCAGGTTAGCGGCACTGCTCTGTAAATAACCTCTGTTTATCGCTGAGTGAACTACTGCCTGCAGTGGGGAAAGTCTGCCTCCTAATTGTATTCCTGACCCAGGGGAGAAGCTCTGCGACGGTACAGAGGCTTGTTCTGGGTTTGTGGGTCATAACAACAATGCTGCTTCCCCCCTCTCTCTAATGGCAGGTTTCAACAGGTCGGCTCTGGAGAAGCAACAAACAACAAACGGCTCTTCGCTCCGCATTCCCTCTGAGCTGGACGTTCTAGCACTGACAAAGGAAGCTCAGGTGGAGGGAAAGTCATTACTTCCTGAATCTAACTGGCAAAGACCTTCAGTCGCAGCAAGAGAATATTCACTGCTGCCAGACAAAACGGGCAATGATTTAGCCAAATATCCCCCAGGAACACCTGTGTGTTCACAAGGCCGATTCCACTTTGATGAAAGATTCAAAAGAGAAATGTCTGCAGCTTATCAGGAAGAAAATCAACACTTTACACAAGGTCCTCACTCCCTGCCTTGTCTTTTTTATGAGTGTTACCTGTCATGATTGTTCAACCACTTATTATCCTTAAAACATTCTCCAGGACGTGCTGGAGGGTCGGCGGCTTTATTCTCACTCATCTCTTTTCTTGTGATAATCCCAATTACGATAACTGTACCGTCACCACCCAGCAGGCGGCCTCTCAGGGTCGAACTTTGGAAAGCTACTGCCATGAATTTCAAAGATCTAATGAGTGCCTGCATAACATCAGTCCAGGTTCATCTCCATTTTAAGACGAGGACTTGTGGTAACAAAACCAAATTTAATGCCGCTGTTTCTAATAAGCGTTCTCACTTCTGAGGCCCAAACAACTCAAACGCTTACTTGTTGTCCAAACACAGTCTGATTAAGTTAAACATTTACTATAACTGGTGTTCTTTGTAACTAAAGGGAAACACATGAGCAGCACATGATGTGGATTAAAACATCTGTGGCTGTTGTTTTCTACTTCAGCCTGTGTACTGGGTGTTTCTTTATGTGGATCAAAACATCACTTATTAGTGTCAAAGCATGAGATTTTTTCACATTTGCTCCTTAAAAAAACACCACAGCACCTGTACACTGGCCTCTACTTCTGTCACAGTGGGTTCTGATGAATACTTTCTATACACAGACCACAATCTTGGATATTACTTTGACATCCCACCTAAACATTGCTGCAGACCAAGCAGATGTCCTCTGCTCATGAGCCAATGGAACAGAGCTGTAGAGGACATCATATTATGTGTAGAACAAGTAAATAAATAACCTGTTGGCAGAAGTGGGCTTTAATAGCTCATCTTTTCTTCTTCTAGTATGACTTCCACAAACATTTACCTGCAGTTTAATTCACTGCATTCCAGAAGGTTTATTGCATTGCAATATATACTGCAGCTGTGATTTAAAATGCACACTGTGGCAAAGCTTTGCCCACATTTTTTTGCAAACACTTCTATTTGCCACACTACTGCCCTGCGAATCCTCCACTTGGACCCTGAGGGGTTCATTTCTGACTAACACAAATTACTGACTCTGTCTATGGCACCTGGAAATGTCACTGAGCCTTGACCACTGGCGCTGAACGATATTAAGGAATAGTCGCTTTAGCATTTCCTCTCCGCTGATACAAATCTAAAAATGCTGATGAGATGTTTTTGCTGCATTTTGCACCAAACAAGCACTTTCCCTTACATCTGGAGAGCATGATTAGTAGGCTGGGATGTCTCAGTAGCACCACAGTGCTTCATTTGTAATAGTATGTCGTTACACAATTTACCTTTATCACAAATTACACTTCCTGCAGTTTGGATATTGCACTTGGAAAAATTGCAAGTTTGATCATTTTTTCATACCGTTACGAGTGGGTAAGATTAATGGGCAGCTATTTTTATATAGTGTACCCACATTCTAAAATTGCCTCGCTGCTAACTGATGACATTGATCCACACTAAGCTGGCTGAGTGGATTTTTGGACCTGGGGGCTCTATAGCAGAAAAGCGTTTCGAAGTAATTGTGTTATAGTGCAAAACCTCATTGCATTACCCTTTAGAGAGACAGAGCAGCGTTGTCGTTTCACACACCAAATGCCACATATTAATGAGTCGGCCTGTTGTTTGGACTTTCTTTTGCTAGATTAAGAATTTTTGTAGGTGGCCACCTCTGCTACAAAATGTCCTGGGGGAAGCCCTGTAGAGGGTATGTAGGTTTACAAATACTGACTAATGTGCTCAGATTGAAAGAATTCAACTTGAATGTTTGTCACCTCTTGGAAGCCTTCACTCATTCCCAGTAAATAACAAACCTGACCTCCTCTGCATTTGCTGCTAATGAAATTATAATGGATTGATGGGTGGCTGCCGGTCACAAAGACAACAGGAAACCAGGTTTAAAGTAACAGTACAACGTGACTCACCGCTCATCTCTGTGTCCAGGCGGTCTCCATGGGAGTTGAACCACTGAACGCTGGGGAACGGCTCTCCGGTGACATTGCAATCAATCAGTGCGCAGCTCCCCTCCCGCGCAATTATCTGGCTCACTTTTGTGAACGCAACCGGGACAAATCCGCCGTCTGTCACATTGCCGTTTTCCGTATGGTTGCCATCCGTGTCCACCGATAAGGCCCCAGCGGTGTGAGAGGCGATAAGGGACACCAGGACCAGAAACACGTATCCACCGGCCCAGTGCATTTTCTCCGACTGTCGGTGCGTCGCCCAAGGGGGAAGAGACTCTGTCATTCCTCCTGGGTCTCCATCCTGCAGACTGGCTATCTCTTGATAGTGGAAGGCAATTTGGTATTCAGCTCTGCAGCATGAAACATCTCACTGAAACCAGACAGTGATTGGCATGTGTTAATGAGAGACAGGGCAGGACAAAACAACATGTGTATGATCAGGGCTTGATGCTCAGCAGCTGCAACACACTGATAAGAAGGCTGTTAGGTATGAAGAACTAAAGGGCAACCAGAACTGCAACTAATGGTTATTCACTGGCTGGTGAAATATCAACATATAATGAAAAATGCAATTTCCCAGAGTGCAAGGTGAAGACTTCAATTATTTAGCTTTGTTCAAGCAAGCGGCAGCCCAAAATCCAAAGATACTGAATAGATTTACAACCTGCAAGAAGCTGTTGTTCATTTTGAAGGCCTGTTTAATAAAATGTAATCTAAATAAGGCAGAAATCACAATTCCTTCCTTTTCTATTCTTACAAATGAATTACTGGGTGTTTGGTCATGGCTGCAAAACAAAAGCAATTGTTCTTCATTTCCATAAAATCTTGTAGGGCTGCATGAGACAGTCCTAAAAAACCTCACTGACAAATAACATGCTGATCACAACACATGATTATTTTCATTTAAGCTCACATGGTTAAACATTAGCATCTGGCTAGTCTGAGGCATAATCTGGCTAATATTCACAGCTGAAGGCAGTTACATCACAGGAAACAAATAAAAAAACACACAGCCAGGGCTCTATAGCTCACGATAACATTCATGTGCATCATTTTAACGTTAAATCTCCATCTGTAGCTTTGTCTTTGGTCGCAGCAGCACCGACTGGCTCGACTACTATGAAAACAAAGCCACACTGCCACATAACGGAGCTGTGTGTGGGCTCCGGCTATTTCCTCGTCCACATACAGCCGGAAAAGATGACCAGGTTAGCTACCTCATTTGAGTCAGCTAGGATCATTGTAGAGACTTCAGTGTACATGTTAGCCATTTGTGAACGAGCTACGGAGATTTCAAACTGTGTCGTTTCGCCTAAACGCCAGCACATAAAAAATAAAAACAAGGGCGTGGGATGCGGCTATGTGCTGGATCCATCGGGGGACCCTTCCAGAAATGTACCGCAAAAACTGTTTACAGCGGGATGAAAGGCAGTCATTTAAGGCTTAAACGCCGACCGACGGTGTGTGGCTACATTTAGCAATCAATATTATCGAAAAATAGTCGGAATTATCCACACAGTAAAGCAATAAAGCGGTGAATTTACACCGAGAAATGCAGCAACCCAGCGGTTCAGCAAACGACCAACTCGACGGCAGCCGCTAGAAAAAAACGACAAAACAGCCCATTCCCTGGTAATTAAACACTTCTGACACTTACATCATGGTCTGTCGCCGTTCAAGCTTGAATGTCTGGTAGAAAACGCCGCAGTCGATGGTTTTTGTCGTTTGCTATTTCTCCTCCGGCATCTCCATCCTCCTCCTACTGCTGCTGCTGCTGCATATCCGCTCTGACACCGAGCTTCAGGACGCACTGGAGGCAACGTCGCCGACTGGGGTTGCTCGGGTTGCATTGCTCAACGAGTCAGACATACATTGCTATTCAAATGATGTCTTTTAATATTGAAACTATCATACAATGTTGAGGTTTCCCCTCCAAAAATTATTGTCACAGGTTTCCAAACAATTTAGGATTAATTGATTTTCCGGTCACGTGACAGCATGTAAACAATTATCACCACTATGTTGACGAACCAATATTGACCCATCCTGCTAATGCAAAGCTGCATTCATTTACAGTCACTTTTATGAGCTCTATCACTTCCTCATTTGATAATAATTTTATTGCAGCTTTAAAATTTGGATCAAGTGTTCAGGAATTTGCCCAGAACATGATCATTTCTACTCATCACATGCAGACAGGTGAGAAATTAAACCAGGTTAAGTAAGTTATGCATGCTCCCATAAGAGGCCTTTGCTTTGCCATACTGTGTTATTTACGTTGATTCTTCCTTCCTCACCCTTCTGTATTTCTGTTGCCTGTTTGGGCAGCCGGGCCTTGAGACTCCCACGAGGATGTGAGTAAGGTCTGGGCAGCTTCCCAGTGCAATGAGTGAAAACCTTGCCCACATAAGGGCATTTCATTTTGTGGTGCAGTAAGTAGGGCGTGTGTGTGTGTGTGTGTGTGTGTGTGTGTGTGCATTAAGACATGGCGTATAGTTTCAGGTAAATAGACTGAGGTCAAAACCCACTCAAGCTAAAAGGTTGGATATTATAAAAGACACTTGAAGTGGACTGTGGCGCTGCTGGATGGGCAAAAACAGGAACTCGCTTTAGAAACAATGAGAAAATGTGCATTATAACAAGGACAGAAGAACAAAAGGATCCCCAAATATAAACCCAGTCAGGGTCATCTGGGCTGTTGATTTGTTTGCCACCCTTGATAACTAACAACCTTGAGGCCACAGTAAAAGTCTGAAATCGACATTTTGCAGCGAGGCGTCAGCACACAGTCAATAGCTGGGTCAATAATGTTCCATTTATATGGATATTTAGGAGGACGTGCATGTGTTTTATTTCAAAATAAAACATTAAATGGATTTGGAAGGTGAAGATTTAGACTTACTGATACTGGTGTTTTTCAATTTTGTGAGAATTTCTTTTATGTCTGCACTGAGTTTCTCAATATTTAGAGGGAAATATTTTCACTCCACTGTCAAACAGCTGCAGTAACTAGTTATTTTTTGCACCACCCATACATCCATCCATTATCTATACACCGCTTAATCCTCACTAGCCACCCATACATACGTTTATAATTTAAGATGCATTACTCAGGTTTTAACAACCCAGGCAGTTACTGTGCAGCAAAATACTGCGTCTATGTTCACAAATCTATAAGTTAACACCCTAAAGAGGCCTTTTTAGTAAAAGTAGTTTCCTTTTCAAGCTTCAGTACTTTTTATTTCACCAAGAGGCAATATTTTACTGGTGATAATTTACATTTACTAACTTTACTAGCTTTCACCTCCAGGACTCTGAGGCGTGCAGGTAAGATTGTGGCCGACCTCTCCCACCCTGGACAAACTCTTCCAATCACTCCCTTCTGGCAGGAGGCTTCGGTCCATTAGAACCAGAACCACACAGTTTCTTTCCGTCTGCCACCAGCCTCATGAACGATGCCCAGGACCCCCACTGACCCCCCTGACCCCTCTATGTCTGTATAAATGTAAATAACAACATATCAGCACCCTCAATATGTTGTAAATAACAATACCCTTCTATGGTTCTTACTTAAATGTAACTTTGATTCTTGCACTATTACAGTTACTTTTATTTCTAGTTACTTTACATGTATTGTTGTTTTGTTGCACCCACGCACCAGAACAAATTCCTCGTATTGTGTGAACTATGCTTGGCAATAAATCTGTTTCTGATTCTGATTTAAAATCTAAGGGGCAGGGAGATTACTTTTAAAGAAGTACACTTAGATGGTTTGTAGCCTTTAATACTTTCTCCTTAGCGCTGCGACAGCCTTATTTCTAAGCCACCTCTCTGATCCTGTTATCTTTTACAGATAAATGTTCAGCTGTACACAAACACCTCAGAGAGCTCACACCACTCGCTAAGTGCTACATATTACCACAGCGGGGAGAAAGTCTGCACAAAGGGAAGGAAAACAGCTTCAGCAGACAGACGGGCCCTGTTGCTGTCAGCAGATACCGCTATGTGATAACTAACTGTACAGATTACTCACAACAGCCTTACTGGAACTTGTGATTTTCTAAGATCATTGGAGAATGAAGAGGTCATCCGCTGCAGCAGCTAAATAATTAGTCAAGTTTATGGATAATGCTGAGTTGAAATGTCTTGATTTGATATATTTTTTAAGTTGTAGGCTCCAGGATGACTGATTGGTCAATATGCTCTCATCCAACCAAAGCGTACACTTCACACCAAACTTGAAGCACCAACTGGAATTTAAGTTCTAATTTACATCTTTTGTTTTGGCAAACTGCAAAAAAAAAAAAAAAAAAACAAAAACACACTTAAAAGACAAAATACAGAGTAATAAAAAGTTATTTACTTCTTTTCATGGACAAGATGAAGACATTGTTACAGTTAAGTGCAATATTTTAGCAGCACAATTATTATATTTGATATAATAATTACTTGTTTTGGAGGGTTTTTAGAAATCAGCACAAGTCACGTTGGAGGGACATGAACAGCGTTGGAATCAGATCCAGCTTAGAACCAGGATTGATGATACTTTTCTTTTTTTTTTTGCCGATGGGTTCGTTGACAAATTTCCGTGCTGTCCGAAGTGAAAACATTAAAGTGCTTGTTTTGTCCAACCAATGATACAAAAACCTTTAAATATTAAATCCGCAGAAAAACAATTTAAGTGACTTGAAGAGACGGCAGCAAATTGAATTCATTTGTGAAGCTGGAACTAATAACTAAAGATGATGATGATGATGAAAATATTTGACATTTATTCCAGAATCTGAGCTGAGAATCATTCAATGGGATTGAAATCTGAATTACAGCAAATGAAACTGATTTACTGATATTGTTTGGATTGTGGTTTGGATGTAGTCGGGAGTAACAATTTCAAATTTACACTTCACAAAAGCCTTTAATTTAAAAAAAAAAAATACAGCATCTGCCATGGAAACAAATGTCTCATCACAGAGCATCTTTGATGAGTGAGGAGAGTCTCCTGAAAGCCTGTTGAAAGAATTGAAAGAAAGTCAGTTGTGCAGCATGTGTGTGTATTTTTGTTTATGTGTATATGTGTGTTTGTGTACCTCATCAATCTGCTCCGGCGTGGACTGAGAAAAGGCTGCTCTGACGTAAGGACAGGGGTCGCTGCTGTTGATCATGAAGGATCCTCCGGGAACCAGCAGCACCTTTAACGCACACAAACACGTATATGCACACAGACGACTCGAGCTACCGGCAATAATCCCACGACTTCTCTCTTTTCTTCCAGTTTTTACACAACTGATCTTTTCATGTGTCGAAGGTCAGACAGAGAATAAAAAGTTCATTAATCCTCTTTGTGAGAACAGAACCGGTCTTTGTTTGAAGCTTTTGCGTTACGTGAGCACCAGCTGTAGTGAGCCTCGAGCTAATGGAACGACAGACAGTGAATCAAGTTTCATTCAACAACAGCAGCTGGAAAAATATCGTTTTATTTTTACATAAAGCACAAACACCTCTTGATTCCATCATCTTTAGCATTGATGACTCTCTTACATTTTGTTGTCTGCCAGACCTCTTTACTCCCTTTGCCACTGATTAGCAACGATATGCAAACCAACCACTTTTCTTTTCTGTATTTACATATGGTTCCCTCCCTATCCTTTGGCCGTCTGTGTAAAACGTTCTACTCTGCCAACACTCTGGGTCAGCTTACTTTAACAGACTCCCTTTTTGTGTTGGTAAGCCCACCATATGCCAGAATACCAATTAAACACTCCACTACAGCAAACTTGGGATGAGGACGATGAGTGAATTTCCTTCAAAGCAGTCTTGTGGTGCAGTAACACACTGCTCCCGGTGCTCCTGCCACATCTGGAACACTCTGTCAGTCCCCTTGTGACCACTTACAGGTGCACATTCGTGATTTATGTCGACGATCGCCACTGGCTGCACCAACACAATCATCACTTCCTATCCACCCTATTTGCCAGATTTTGTCTCCCCCGTAACACAGCGAAGGAGATCCATAATGCGCCGCAGAAGGTGTTTGACATGTTTACAGAACAGGATTTCCAAGCATTGCAGGAGCACTGTGAGCGGTGTATCGCTGCACAAGGCGTTACAGCTTCTTAGAGGCACAGTCTCTGAGCTTCTTGTTTGCATCTTGTATTACCATTCGCCCCATTTCTCTTGGGAAGTGAGTATACCACTACGAATATCATCCAGAAGACGTCTGTCTGACAATTTGCATGTTTATTTCCATATTTAAACAACATCCTGTCTGCCTCCTCTCTACCAGGACCAGCCTTTTCCACTCCACCGTCGACCGTGGCTCTTCAGATCAGGTATAAACGCTCTGATTTTGTTGAGGTCTGACAGATTTTAAACCATCCCTAAAGGCATTTGCTACAGCTTTGAAACATGGTGTAGATGAAGCACAATCTCGAATTCTAGTTGTGAATTTACTTCAGTATTAAGTCTCCATTATTCCTCCTCTGTTAGCACCAACAACACGCAGGACTTTCTTCATTATCTGCCGTGTGAAGGCTTTACGTGTTCAAGATTCAGAGGAGCCTGTGCAGAGACCTTGGAAAAGCCTGATTGTACCCACTCTTATTTATACATGGCTAATCAGCTATTCCTTCTCAGGGATTTACAGACGCTCAGTGTGTGTGTCTGTTGGTGTAGGAGGGAAAACACTCACAAAGCGCACAATGGCTGCTTTACATGCACCATCCTACACTCTATTCAGACACAAACCCTACTTCGGCCCTGGTGCAAACCATCTCATCTCAAAGAGACGCACAAAACCGAGAGACTCCTCTGGACTCCCTGCTTTCAGCACATTGGAGTGCAGCAAGTATGTGAAAAAGTGAAGCGAGCAGAGTTGAATCATGAACGAGGACAACGGTGTTGAGTTTTGACTAGATGACTGAGGTGTGTGTTTGTGCGTACTGACCTCTTTCTCCAAAGCTTTCTCCATAATGAGCTGCTGGGTGTCGGCAATGCCCCTCAGCTTCATCCACAGGAACATGCCTGCAGATGGGCTGTGCCAATCCGCCAGATCTACACAAAGACACATGAGGAGAATAAATAAAGCTTGGGTGTGTGCTTAATGACTCATAAGAGGATTTTACTTCTGTGGTTTCTCAAAATGTTTTGGTTGCTTGACAATAACTGGAGAAGACATGCAGTCTGTTAAGTAGATTACAAGTTTAGCTACCATTTGCAGGAGCCTCAAAATCTGACAGTTTGGGTCACTAAATGAGGAGGTGTCGGCAGTTGTGTAAAAAAGTATCCAAAAATCTCACCACATTTACCACAGAGCTACTAAGTGTGTCAATTAGACCTGCTAATAGATTAATTGATTATGATCGATTAGCTAGGTTTAGTAATTTTTTAAAGAAAAAAATCTTAATTCTTTGACTCCAGCTTCTTAAATGTGGATGTTTTCATGTTTCTTTCCTCCTTTATGAGAGTAAACTGAACATCTTTAGGACGTGGCCAAAACAGCTTATCAACATTTTTCACCATTTCTGACATTTTATCGATCAAACAACAAGTCGGTTTATTCAGAAAATAATTGACAGATTGATCGAAAATGAAAATATTTGTAAGTTGGAACATTAGCATCAGTAAATTTTACATTTATGAACATTTTTGTGCGTTTTTCTAATTGTCAGGGATGGTGCAACGTGATAATAAGTAAATGTCCGCTATTCAAATGTACTCCTTGTTATTAGGGTTTTAACAATTCTGAAACCAAAACCAAATATGCAACATGATGTTTACTATTATTATTGTTAGCAGAAATATATATTGCATCCTTTTGCATGCACTTGAAATTCAAAACAGAGAACCACTGATCCATTATCACTAGACAGCACTACTGGTGTTCATGAACTCCACACTGAAAACGGATGGATTTTACTCTTGGTTAGATCTTACTTAGGAAACCAATTTTGGTTTGTTTGAGTCAATAACATGCTACAAAATGATAATTCAAAACATAAAGGTAACTGCTGTGTGTTTCTCTACTCCCACAAACCTTTGAGCCACTTGTCTGCGGAGCTGACCATTGCATCACGTTGTTTCCTGTAAAACTCAATCACACTGCAAGGAACAAAGAAAACCGTTTCATTCATTCAGCGCTGCAGCGAGTTTTTGTCTTATTTTCTGTAGGCATCACAACAGGATCTAACGCTGCTCTTAACCCGTCAAACCAGTCGTGCGAGACGTGACGGACCTGTCTATGTGCTGGAGGAAACCTTCTTGTCCCCAGCTGTGCAGCAACTGAGACACCATGAGCTGAAAGGAAGCAGGAGACCCCGGTTATATAATCACTCCTGACAGCGAGGAAGCAAATTATTTTTCTGTAAAATGACTGTACAGCAGATAACCTGCCTTCAGAATCATAATTCTATTATTCCAACATGCCTTTTCCACAGGGCGTTTGCGAGTCTAATTGTAATCACTTTGCACAAGCATAGCTGTCATTGAAATGTTTCCTAAAGTTCCTGTCAACGTTTTTTGTCCAGATTAGATAAAATGCAGAGGTGAGGATTTAATCAGAGGAGGACAGCAGCAGATTCTCTTTTGATCCTAATTAATCCTCCACGTCTTTCTTAATAAAACCTCCTCTGCAGCTGCTGCTAATCCAGAGACACCAGGCAGCCCTACTTATCTTTGGCTGTGGCTTATCGCCACTCGGTTTGAGCTTGTGTCGGAGCAAATCAGGCATTCCTGATGGGTTTGAACAGAGGCAGGGAAGGTATGCAAGTCTGTGGTGACTCTGCTCACAAATATTCTTCATTGTTGGCACTCTGTGTAGCGACTCAGCATAACTGAGCTGCCCCGTTTTGAGGTTTGAATAGGGCTGTACTGTCAACAGCACATTCACATGATTCTTTTGGTTCTTTAGGCACATTTAGGACAAATATCAAACAACAACAGAATGCAGGAACGTGCTTATGTGGATTTAGCAGAGTGACAGTGAAAAGTGGAGGATGCGGTGGTGTAAAATCAAAGTTTCATCCACCTGTGTGAAGGTGCTGGTGTGCATTGTGGAGGCCTGGATGTGCAGCACCACCCTGTCTACCAGCGGTTTGGGACCAGTCACGAAGCCGATCCTCAACCTAAAACAAACACACACAGTCGAGTGATCAGAGACGGAAACATGCTGGTGCAGCTGTGCATAAAACTTACAGTGAAATATTAACTTCACTCTTAAACCTATAAAACTGGGCCTGTTGAACATAAGCACACTTTGTTCTGCTGTTTGTGACTCTATGTCCTGTTTTTACAGATTGTGTAAGTTTTTTGTGTTGCCTGTTCCTCTGGTGTTCTTTTACTCAAGAAATATTTATGTATTGATGATGCTGAACATTTTTACCGTGGGTTACGACTTTAAATTACATATTTAAGACACGTAGGCGACATGTCTGCCTACTGTATGTCTTGTTTTTGTAGACATTGTGCAAAGCAAGGCTGCAACGATTAATCATTTAGTCAATTAATCATGAACTGTAGATAATAAATTAATCAATCAGAGTCAGTTTTAAAAGGAATAAAAACTAAATTCTCTGATTTCAGCTTCTTAAATATACAAATGTTATAGTTTCTTTACTCCTCCATAACAGTAAACTGAATGTCTTTGGGTTGTGGACAAAGCAAGACTTTTAGGGTGTCATCTTGGGTGTTGGGGAACATTTTTTCACCATTTTCTCACATTTAATGGAGAAAACAACTTAGCAATCGATGAAAACAGTGGGTAGTTGCAGCCCTAGTAGACACTGCTCAGGATGTTTATGTTCTTTGCGTACACTCAAACATCAGCTCAGTTCTGCCGGGAGTTGGACAAGTAGCACACGATTAAACCACACACTGCCCTGTTCACATGTCAGGTCCAGACTTGTTGGGGCACATCAATAAAATCTCAACAGGCACGCAAAGATTCAGACGCTCACCCTGAAGACAGGATCTTAGAGAAAGAGTCCGTCCTGATGATCCTCCCATCAACATCCATGGAGAGAAACGTGGGAGCCCACGGCTGCCACGAAAACAAACAGGACATTAATTATTGTTTAAATCAGATTATAAAGTACCAGCAAGGAGGTAGCTGAGTCATTTTCTTATTTAAAATAAAGAAGTAACTTTCTTGACAAACAGAGGAGGTGGTTGAACTCTGTACCTTTTCAAACTGCAGGAAGTAGTACGGGTCGTCCTCGATGATGAGCATGTCGTACTGTCTGGCCAGCTATTAAAAAGACAGGAGGTTGTAATTGAAAATGACAAGAGTGAATCTGCAGGGAAATCAGCTTCACAACAAGGTCTAATTAGAAGAGTCAGCGCTTCACTGGCTGCTTTCCAGAAAACTGACTGAAGAGAGTTTCAGAGCGAATCAGGAAATCTGCAGAGTTCGCACGTATTTATCTCAGAAATGAAAAGCTTGTGTCCTCGCTTTACGGCACAGAAGAGGAGACGAACCTCGTACACTTCCCTTTTCCTCTCAACCGTCATGGAGGCACCGGTTGGGTTTCCTCCGTTGGGGATGGTGTAGAGGATTTTGGGAGCGGTGCTGCCGGGCTTGTGGACTTCTGACGGGTCCCACCGAGACAAAACCTCCTTCAGGCCTGCAGGTATCATGCCGTGCTGGTCGCTGGGAACGTTTATTAGGTTGCACCCGAGTGGCTGAAGCTGCAGAGGAGAAGAGAAAGTTAGACAGTCACAGCAGCTTGAGTAAATATCAGTTTGTGTTGTTTTGAAGGGAAATGCTCTCACCGCTGCAAGTGTCCCCGAATATGTGGGTGCATCCAGGAGAACGTTGTCTCCGGGGTTGACCAGCATCTCAAACACCTGGAACCCAAAAGTAAGTGAACAGAAGATTCAGAAACAAGGAGGCATAAAGGGCAGAAATGTAATCTATTTATTTATTTATGTTTACTGCACAAACTCTATTTTGTTTATTAATAAAAAAGAAATGATTTGCTGTAAATGTGGATGATGCAAAAAGACTGAGCTATGTATTCTCAGACTAAATATTTAGGTTTGGCTGAAGAAAGCCTGGCACATGGTTTGTAAATTGCAAAGAGTCCTGAACTAATACAAATGAAATCTATAAAAAAAAGAAAAGGAAACGAAAATTATTATTTGTGTAAAAGGCTAAAGTTGTATTGGGTGAACATTAAAGCTAACACTGGAGACAAAAAGGATTAAATCAGATGTATCATTATAGAACAACATAGACGGAACTCTTTGGCTGCACCACACAGCAACACCCTGAGAAATCAACACAATCAATGAAGAGAAACTACACAAACATCTGCACTGCATCTGGTGGAGTCGGTACCTTACAAAGCCCCTCTTGGCTCCCCGTCGTCACACACATGTCCATCTGACCCTTGTCGGGGCTGTAGCTGGCGGTCGGGGGGTTGTGGAGGTCCTTCTGAAGGTTCTTCATCCATGTCACCAGCTCGGGTATCCTACACAGGGACGAGTTCACACATTACTAAATCTGTTATCTTTTATATTAAAGACAGAAGCATTAGAACAGGACTTCATCACTATAAAGATGTACGACAAACACGCAGTTTAAGGAAGCTTCTGAATGGGCTGCTGTCTGATGTTGTGGTAATTATCTTCAATAGGGATTGTGAAAGAATTTCTGTGGACCAAAGAGTCGATCTGACTTCATTAATGATGCTGATGACAGGAGAAAACACAGAATTAGGACAAGAAGGATATGTTTTCTACCATGGCATCTCTGATTCTTCTTGATCAAACTCCTAATCAGCATATCCTTCTGCTGTTTAATACTTGGGTCTTCTGAGTTTTCTTGGCACAAGTCTTACATCTACATGCTTCTACCTGCTCACAACAATGTCCATCACAGCACTAGCCATTACAGCTGTAAAAGAAGAAGAAGAAGAAGAAGAAGAAGAAGAAGAAGAGAACACTGCACAATATGCTACTGCTCATGTAGCTTCATTAAAAGGTAAAAAAGAAAAAAAGAACAACAACCAAAAAACACAACAGCTACAAACTTTGATTTACATAAAGGAACGTGTAGGTAAATGACACTATAAATTTAATGTCCACACACATCTTCAAATGTCTGCACACACCTACTCATTCAAGTGTTTTTCTATATTTTTACTATTTCCCAGAACAGTAGTGAAGGCATCAAAATGATCAAATAACACAAATGTTCTATATTTCCAAACCCTGAAATTGGCCACTGTTTTTGACGATAGCTGCTCTTTGCCTTGTTTGCTGCATAATTCTACATTTCTTCAGTGTTTTTCTACAGCTGAGAAAATAATAGAAACCAAGAAAAAACATTGAATGAGTGGATTTTTTGATTGGCAGTGTATTATCAGCGATCACTTAACAAACTCTGCAAAACAGGTAAAAAGCACTTCCACTGTCTGTTGTAGCTAAAAGATAAGATATGCTTTTCTTTTTCTTTTTTCAAGTCTTTCATGTCCAGACTTTCCAACTATTTCTCTTTAACTACTGCTGTTGAAGACCACATGAGTGACACTTTTTCTGCACAGAGATTTCACTCTCTGCTATTCAGGACAAGCTCTGTATTTAATTCCTTATCAAAATATTTAAGTGCAATCCCAGTTAGGCTGATAAGGCTGAAATCACAACTACATTTCAATGTCTCTGCTCATGTTGTGGAAAATGTCCTTAAGAAATAATTGACCCCCGAGTTAATCTCTCACCCACTGGACGCAGAGTACTGCAGGGCTCTCTTCATCGCCGTCTCGTCGAAGGTGATTGTTTGTCCGTTCTTCACCTGGATGGACGCAGATTGGAAGGGGAAGGTGTTTGGGTTCGGAGCTCCTCCAGCCAAAGAGATCAGGGACGGAGGCGACCGCTGCTGCAGCTCAGCTTTATTCACGAGCAGACAAAGAAGATTCTGGGGTTTCTTTCAAGTAATAGAAACCCAGCACAGAAATCATAACACAACGAGCTGTGGCATAAACCTTCCATTGGGTGCTGGTCTAATAAACTTGTTATGCACTGTATATGTCTCGTCATTGATTCAGTCATCAATCAAAATTGATTTAATCTGAAAAACTTTGCTTATGGTGTCAAATATTGCTATTTGATAAAAATTTGATTAATTAATTACAGAGCCACTAATTGTCTCGATTTTCTTTTTTTTTTAATTGCATCCCACCACTAGTAAAAATGAATGTGTTAAACTAAAGGTTAACTAATTATTTAGTCAAGCAAATGTCAGGAAAAAGGTCCAAAACCCAAAGATCGACAGTTTGATATCGCATAAGACAAAGACAAGTTGCAAATCCCCTCAGATGAGAAGCTGAATCTATGGATTGTTTGGTATTTTTGCATGAAAAATAACTTAAACAATGAGTCTTTAATCAAAACAGCTGCTGTAATCTTCTGCTGATCGACTGATTAATCATTTACATGATAGTTTAGTTAAAATTATTACAGTCAGGTAGACTTGCAGCTACAAAACTGCAGAAACTGAATGGGAAGAGGGATTTTACAGTTAACTTTGCCTCAGGATGCTCGAGCTGGATCACACAACTTTGCCACTTTTCTGTCCATTAAAGCCACTTATACAACATGAATCATTCCGCAAAATAAAATGTGATCATAAACAGATGTGGGTTAATGTGTAACTTTTCTAAGCTTGTTATGTAAAGAAATACTCACTCAGCATCCTGATAGCTGAAGGCTTTCTGGCTGCACTCACAGCGGTCAGAAATCTGGCGTAATTCATGACTCCTGCCAAAACAGAACATCAGAAATAGTAGTTTCTCCTTCAGTAGAGACACTAGGCTTATCTATTCAGTCAGTTTCCACTCATAAGTTACACTGCAATTTGCACTAGTGGCATAAACGTTAACTATTAAGTATTTTCTTAAAAGGCAGCATGACAGAAGAATATTTGACACTTTCTGCACTCAGACTTTAAGGTTCAGTTTAGTTACACGTGTGTTAAATAGCCTGTACTTTAAAGTTAAAGAAAAACAACACAATTTGGGGTTAAAGTGAGCTGACAACAGCACAAGCAGGGACACACACACACTGCGGGACTCTCCGCGCAACAGGTCGACATATATTACACCAATAAATATCGTAAACTCAGCTGTAGTTACGTTCGTGACTCGACCACGCTCAGCTGTGTAACTGACCTTTTCTATGTGGCTCAACCATCGCGGGGGCTGCTGGTTAATGTAGTTCCTTAAAACGGGGGTCCTGCAGCGATTGGCGGCGGCGTTCGTTATCTGAACTACATTACCCGAGGTGTAAAACAAGAACACAATTAACACTTCCGAAACAACTTCGTTTTGAGTTTTGGCACTCTGTTGTTTAAGTCTGTATCACAAAACAGTTCGCAGTGGAAAAAAATGGCTGTGAATCCTTACCGTTCCAACGTGTTGCGCTTCTGTTTTCCCCGTTAGGAGACAGTGGACACTTTATGTCAGCACAAACCGGATATGACCGAAAACGACGAAGAAGAAGAACTTCCGTGTTGTTAGCTTAGCCTAGCAGGTCGTGCTGTCCGCGACTTGCCGTGAAGCTTTAGTCAGTTAATGTGTAAATGCTGTGGTTTTACAGGCGGTGTTGCAACTTTTTCACGCAGACTGGTAACTCAATTTTTTTTCTTTGCAGTGGTGTTTCTATCTGTAGCTGCAGACAATAAATACATGCTAGCAAATGTAGCTAAATATGATAGCTTCCACTTAAGTTAAAGCGTCGCACATTTAAAAGTGGTAACGAGATCACATTTGTGTACCAAAAATAAACAAGCATATATATATGTAGTATTAAAGCAACAACAGCCACCTTTATCATTCTAAATATTCTCTTTTGCAGGTGCACAGGCAGTTAAGAGTGACTGGGTTATTTTAATCCAATCAAACTTTTGAAGTTTGTGCTATGTAGAGCTGCACACCGGCTGTCTTCTCCTTTGTTGTGACATTTCTGTTGATTCAATGGGGAAAAGGAAAGACATGATTCACCCCAGGTTTCTCGGTGAGTACACAAGACTGCTGACATTCAATTGTGCATTTGAAGCTATTGTTATGGTTTTTTTTGTGCCGACATAAACTCACAATTCTCTGTTTGTGAGTTGGACTTGCTGATCCAGTATTTAGTCAGATTATAATGTGTTTATTGGTATTTATTTGTGCTTTCTCTGCAGGTGAAAGTGGCTCTAGTCTGCACAGCGTTCACAAGCGGAAACACAAAAAACACAAGAAGCACAAGAGGAAACATCACAGCTTTGCCGAGGCCCCTGAGCCTGAGCCTGTCATAGTCCCTCGACCTCCTTCGCAGCTCCGGCTCAAGATCAAGCTCGGAGGACAGACGCTGGGGACCAAAAGGTGAGCTGTTTGTTCCAGGCTTCAATGTCAGTGATCAGTTTGGCCAATACACACCAGTCACCCAATGATTTATCCTGTGCACCAGTGTTCCCACCTTCACCGTCCATCCTGGTGTGGCTCGTCCTCCATCACCACTGATGATCATTGATAATGATGTTGATGATGATGACGATGACGACGACGAAGATGATGATGACGACGATGAGCCCTCTGTGCCCCTGGAGCAGTATCGGGCCTGGCTGGGTAAATTAAAAATGCACCTTGTAGACATATATTGGATGTACGTTTTATAATCTAACATAAGAGAACTCATTATCTGAGCTTCAGTAAGTTTTAGTGGTTTTGCATGGCACATGTCTCCAACCTGGGGGTCCAAAGAAAAAATCAGAAGGATCACACGATGAAGAGGCAAGAAACATTTTCTGTAACACAAAGGAGGGTTTGTGGTTTTATGATATATGTTTATGTCTGCTTTCTCTTGTAAAATGCTGTCTCAGTAGTCATCTGTTTGGTGAACTGCTCATCACTCATGTACTTTGTTTTTAAGTGGTTGCCACAAAAAAAACCCCAAAAAAACTAGCCATTGCTGTGGGGAAATGAGTAGACACCAGTGGGTAAATTAGATATTAAATCTGTAGAGCATTCATTTAAAAAGAAACAAATATTCAAATAGTTAGTACATCAACATATAACTAATTGGAAACAGTTTGGACAGTCAGTGGCCAAATATTTTTTTATTCCACCATGTCAGTAGTAAAGATTAGCAGCCTTTCTTTGTTATATGTGATTGTCAACTAAATGTTTTTTGACCTAAACAAGCGAGTTGGTGGCACGTGGATAGGGAAACTACAAAAATGCATCTTCACTATTTTCTGATGTTTTTTAAGAGAAACAATTAATTGGTGTCATCCCTACATAAGTTGTAGTTTTGGAGGTCAAATTTGGTAAACACATTGTGATGTCTATTTTGAGATTTATTTTTGTGCAAATTGCCATTAAGGGGAGTTTCTAACAACACCCAGTGAATGTGAAAGGAAACTGTTAGGATTATCTATCGTATATTAGTGTAGAATTTTCTATTATCTTGTTCATCTCGTATCAGATGAAGACAGTAATCTGGCCACATCCCCTATGCCAGACATGGATTCAGACTCCATGCTGGGCGGGCCCGTGGACGAGGAGGAGAGGTGGCTGGACGCTCTGGAGAAGGGGGAGCTCGACGACAACGGGGAGCTAAAGAAGGAGATCGACGAGTCTCTGCTTACTGCCAGACAGGTGAGGAAGAGAGACAGTGTAACTAGATGAATGCAAAGGGCTTTGGAGCAACAACAAAAAAAAAGGTCAATTCAACACAACAGAGAAGGCATCTACACATGAAATACTTTTTACACGAGTCAATGTGAGCAGACTTATACGACCTGTGCATGATGTTTCATGGAAGAAACGCTTTCAAAACTTGAAATCAGTGTTGTGGTCAGACATTGCTTAATGTAACTTTCAATGTGTTTTAATGTTACTCTTCAGAAAGCCCTGCTACACAAGCAGCAGAGTCAGCCTCTCCTGGAGCTCCCCATGGGCTACAAGGAGAAAGAGATGACTGCAGAGATGATGCAGAAGCGGGAGGAGCGCGCCCGAAAGAGACGTCTGCAGGCCGCCAAAAAAGCTGAAGAGAACAAGAACCAGACGATAGAGAGACTGACAAAAACCAGCAAGGCCAAGATCAAAAGCATGAGAGAGAAGAAGTCCAAGCAGAATCAGTGTCCCATGGTTCGGTACAGCGACTCTGCACAGGGACTGGCCATCAGCTTCCCCACAGGGGTCCCTGCTCCGGCCCCGACTTCTCCCTGTCCTCCACCTCCGGCCCCGGTGAGCTGCGGTGTGAGCGGCTGCACCAACCTCAAGAAGTACTCCTGCTCAAAGACCGGAGTTCCTCTCTGCAGCCTCGAGTGTTACAAGAGGAACCTGCTGCTGGTGCAGAGCGCAGCTTGAACCTCCAAACGGGGATATCGTGCAGGACGGGGGTTCTTTTTGTAAGACACTGGGATGTGATGATGGTGCAAACAAGTGGTCATAAAACTTGGTGAAATTGATGCACCTTGGACACAAATACGGTGGGTATGTTTGGAACTGTGCACAGAAATCCATGATTCCATGTGCAGTGGGGGGCGACGACGTTTTTTCTTTTAAATCATGTCTTCTGTTGTGTTTGTAGCTGTGTCATAATCAGTTCATTGCAGTGATACTCAACAATTCAATTATGTACAAGATAAAAATGATCAACATATGTGAACCAGTAAATTAAACATTATTCAGTATTTATAATTTCTAGAGCAGCTCATTATAAAAAATACTTGTTTCAACTATTTTGCTAATAATGTAAAAAAGATTTGGCAGAATACATCAACAGCAATTAAATTTGTCCTGAAACAAAAGAGAAACTGGATAACATTTTAATAATGTCCATTTATGCAACAAATGACTCCATTTCCATATAAAACTGTACAAAATTTAAATTAAGTAACAATGAACGCTTTTGCTTCACTGCATAAAATGTGTGAAAAATATCAAGACAGCCTTTTTAGCTGTGTCAGCACAGAGATGTATGCAGCAGCAGCATCATCATTTTTATTGGTCCACTGAGTGAACTTTACGGCAGCTGCTTTTACCGAAAGGTCTGGTCTGCTCTTAAGAGACGTGTCTGAGGTATTCACTGACTGAGTGGCATTTCATGTGCACAAACACACACATAAACAAGGCACAAAAACGTCCAGGTTTAACGTTGAGGTCAGCAGTGAGAATGCCATTACCGTCCTCACTGCTCAAAGCCTCAATCACACTCTGCTCTGCAGAACATCATGTGGAAAATTGAGGCCTGTGTAGGTAAGAAAAAAGGCTCTGTGCAGTCCGCCGTTAGATTATCCCTCAGAAACTGAGCAGCAAGCATAAAATCCCTACATCTACTCTCAGATGCTTCTGACGAGCATCACAGTTTGAGCTATTTTCCTGAGAATGCGACTGATGTTTTATACTGATTATTATTATCAGTTAAAGAAATCTTGGGTTCATTGCTGCCAACGAGCTGAGGAGAGGATGATGCATCATAATGCCAAACCAAAGGAGAGTCTGAAGGCCATCTCGACAGGAACCTCTGCCACCGAGTCATGGAAGCACACGTAGAACTCCTGAGGAACGGGCTCCAGCAGCATCCGCCTGAAAGTTCAAGAAAATGAGAGTGGAGCATGAGAACAAGAGAACGATACATCTTCAAACTGATGGAGGTGAATGTCCAGCAACGTGAAAGAGAAATAAACAGGCAGCAAGTAGAATAAACTTCTTTTTACAAATAGACCAAAAAAAAAAGAGTTAATTCATTACACAGTTGTTCCTGCATGACTCCTTCAAATCCATATTTTAATTCCATCTTTGGTCCTCATTATTTCTCCACTTTGACTTCCTAAACTAGAAGTCTCTCCCAGGATAGACAGAAAGCACCATTAGTAGATTCAGCATGAAGAGTTTTCCTTCCCTCCCTGTTTCAGAGAGCACATTCTCCAATGCTTCCTATTCATTTAAGTCATAAAACAGCAGAGTGAAAGGAAAAAAGAATTACTACTGTTTTTAAATGCCCCATTCTAAGAGGAAACACAGATGTCGCGGCTGCAAATGTATCCTATCCTTAAGTATTATTCTTGATTGCAGTTTTATTTTGTGTGTGCGGCTCAAGGATCATTCTAGGTTAATGCAGAATGTGTCTGAACCCACAAATGCTTCTGCTGCAGCAGAACTAAATCCTAGCAGGCCTGTATTTCCACAGTCTTCATTACTGGTGTCTGCTGTTTTACATTTAAAGCTTGTGGACAAAAAATTCATCAAAGTGTGACGTACCCTATGACCCAGTAAGTCATGGTGGGAGCTGGCTTCCTCTGGTCGGTCCAGTTCTCCGGTTTACACTGAAACAGAACCCCGTGTTCTTTGACTGGACCGAGGCCCCAGCCACCGCTCTGAGGCCTGTCTGCTGCACGACGGCCCTGCGGGAAAGAAAATGACACAAATGATCTCTTGATTAACTCTTTACAATGATGCACTGAGGGCTGTTTTCCACCGACAGCAACATAGAAGACCGACGTCCTACAGAGAGGCGGATAAGTGAGAAAAACAAGAATCATGATGAGCTGCAGTGGAGCAGCAGATGTGGCTTTACAGCAGATTACTGTTGCTGCTTCAGGCGTATCCAGCTTACAGTCTTTATGGGATACGCAGTATTTGTGAAATGTGAGAGGTGGATCCTCCTCGCAGCAAAACCTACGATGTACCCATGTTCATACTGGTAGACATTTTTCCCAGAAATGATTGACTCTTAACCTTTGTTTGCTCTCCTACCCCTGATTCCTGTATGCTGGAGAGGGTAGAGTTTATGTTTCCCTCCTCATCTCATCAGCTTATCTAATGCACTGGATTTTAGAGGCAACACCAATGCAGATATTTCAGAGTAAAAAAACATCCATTTTATTTCTTTTATGACAGAGTTTAGTTAAGTTGTCCTGATCGCTGTGCTCTCAGATGGACAAACTACGTAAAATCACCTCAAACATACAGTGTTTCTGGTATTTTGATACTGCAATTTCTTTTCACTATCAGTCAACAATTACACCATTATTTTATATAATTTTGAAAGTTTGACTTCCATGTCTTGGTTTTGGTCTCAACCCAATTTCACTCAGAAGTCTTGGTTCAGACCTGAAACAGAATCTGGTCTTGAGCTGACCTTAGGTGACCTTTACACCACCTCTAGCTATCACATGCTGAATCCCTCCAACGGTGTGGACTTTGTAATTAGATTCAGTCTAAAGTTGTGACCATGTTAATTTTTAATGTCGTCTCACCCTGGCCGGCAGACTCTGCTGGAACGCGGCCCGTATGGAGAGGCAGCAGTGGTGGAAGTTGCGTATGAGCTGTGGGTGAATGGAGCCGCTGAGCTGAGCCACCTCCCTGTGAGTCGGAGCGATGAAGATTCCCTGCACGGTTTCCATCAGGACGTAGTGGAACAAAGTGTTCTCTGCGCCTGATGTTAGTCTGTCACAAACACAGGACACCGATCAGCCGGGTGGTTTGACAATGATTGACTCTATTTATGAGTGGAATTTATGCATAAAAGAAACAGATAATTCTTCATCACTGACTTCATGGTGTTATACATCTCCTCTGTCTCCCTCTCGGTTAGGGTCTTCTTCAGGGTGCCCAGGTAGAACGGGTTTGGGTGCTTCATCCTGGACGCCTGATGTAAAAGAATCAAACACAGACACTACTGAGACTGTAAAAATAAAAATGATAGCACCATGTTCAAGGGCCAATGAAATCTGCTTTTGTGCAACTTCAGGGTTACAATCTATTTCATAAAGAAAAGAACATCATCATAAAACAAGCAACCTACTGACATTTTTTTTTTATTTCTGGTTCATGGACTAGCCCCAGCTTTATCCCCCTGTGACCCCTATGCAGGTAGTTCTTGATTTTTTTGTTCGGAAAGCAAGTTTAAAATCTTTTAGTCATTGCGTGGACAAAAAATTGTTTTATCCTGATGGTTAGAAGAGTCTTTGAGGATTGCAGAAAGTGTTTAGTATAAAATAACTTTGTGGGCACAAAATGGATGTGAAGATGCATCACAATATGCATAGAAACAGGCTTCTGGGATACTTGACCACTATTTCTTCTACGATTTCTTTTAGAAAACATGTAAAACCAAACACCTGAACCCAAATGTGCCTCGGTCCTAAGTCATTTCCTAATCTTCCACCCAGTTTAACTGATGTTTGCTACTTGATTTGCCAATTTACAGGCAAAGAATCGGAATCAGAAATAAAAAATAAAAATAAAAACGACACCTGTACCTTGAAGAGGCCTCCGCTGCCTCCACTCCCATCAGACCCTCCAGATCCCATCGAGTCCCGTCGACCTCCCAGCTTCCTCGCCGAGTCCGGTGTAGAGTGTGGACTGAGCCCCGGAGCCACTGATGAACCGGACCCCGACCCAGCATCCATCTGGCCCTCGCTCCCGCTGTCCGACAGACTCCTCTGTGGGCTGGACCTCCGGGACTTCTCCCCGAACAGGCTGCGACCTCTGGAGCCCGACGAGGAGCCTTTGACGGCTCCGGCCAGCTTGCTGAGGACGGGGGACGAAGAAGTGAGGCTGTCGAGGCGGTCGCGGGCCGTGGCAGCTGGGAGGAACCAGTCGGCACAGGAGAGGCAGGGGGCAGGTGGAGCGTTGAGGCGCTCTTCAATACCTGCCTCCAACACCTCCAACTGCAACAGGGTGGCTTTCACCTGAGGACGAAAAAGATCTTTAGTGTATAATGTAGTGATCGACAGAGTTGGGTCTTTTTAAATGTGTGCACAATATGACAGGAGCCCACCTGATCCACGTAGACACAGTCTGGTCCAGGAGAACCCACAGCTGGTGAAGCACAGCCACCTGCTTCCAACAGTACACACTGCATAAAGTGCCTCTGAGGTGGAGAGGCAAAGAGATAGCAGAAAAACATAAGTTGTGGTAGATAGACGCATTGCTATGAATAGATATTATTAGATGGCATGTACAAGGACAAGCAGGAAGAGAGCGTACAGACTGAGGAGATGAGGCTGAATGATAAGAGCTGGTGAGGAACGCTCTGCTCATTGATATGACAACGAGGACAGATGGAGGACAGATTGAAAGATGAAGTTAAAAGTATATCAGCGGGCAACTGGAGGACAGACATAACAGTCATGTCTTCTGCCATCTGAAACAAAGTTTACTAAATGTTAAATTAAACTCGACAAACAAAACATCGACAAGATATATGGACTAACATAAATGTGGTGTCTGTCACTGCGGATTGCACTGGCATAAGAACAAATCTACTGTTCCACATGAAGCCACTGAAGCAGCTAAACTGACATTCCTCTGAGCATGATGCACATGTCTGTACAGGTTTGCTTCCTTTATTGCTGTTTTGTGATGTAAGAACCCATGAAAATGATCTTTTTACGGGCATTATGACAAGTTCCTGCCATTTTTAATTCATAGTTCGAACTAATAAGTCGGACCTTCTTCAGAAAGATCCTGTTGTAATGATGCAATGTTCTGCTGGGAAACCTTGGCTTCTGGGATTCATGTGCATCAAGCATTTGCAGGATGTGCTACAACAAAACCTGATCTGCCAACATCTCTGTGTCGACACCACAGGACACCACAAGAGCTCCTGTGTCCATGACCTGATGACTCAGCGCTGTTTTGGCAGAGAAAGAGGGACTTACACAATATTAGGCAGTTGGTTTTATTGTTGCGGCAGATCTGCGTAATTAACTTGAAACTACATGACACAATAAAGTGCCCGAAACCAAACAAATATTGGTGCTTCACATCA